TTTGGTCGACTTTACGAACAGCCAATGAAAAGGGGAGTTTCTCCGGGTCTGAACCAATCATGTTCTGAATTAGAACATTACATCGACAGCAGCTCCACCCAACCATAGCACTTTAACAGGTGAAGCCGACAGCACTGTTGGTGAGAAACAAAGAAAATGAGTGCTACCCCCGACAGAAATGACCATGAAGGCTCAACAGATGACCACATCAATGTCAACCACAACACTGGCGTTAGGAAAACGTCGGTGGCGTGGAGGTATTTTGGTTTTTGGAGGTCGGACATGAAGCAGAGTAATGTGGACTGTAAATTATGTCGAGTACATGTTCTCACAAAGTCGGGGAATACCTCAAATCTTTTTCACCGCCTGAAGCAGCGCCACGCCGCAGAGCACGCACAAGGAGAAACATTCAGTCGGCTTTCTCTAGAGCAACGACAAAACGTCAAAGAGACACAAAGACCTCACAGACGGCAAAAGACATGCGACCAATAAACACTTTTACATTTCATTTTTTATATCCTGATATTGATCGATATCAGCTGATATGAAAAAAAATATCGTGATAAACTTTTTCCCGTATCGTCCAGCCCTACATACAAGTAAAGATTTGACTTCTCATCTGACTAAAAAATCCAACTCCATCATGAGCTCATACTCGTGGGTTTGGGGTTCGAGTGTCCTCATTTGGAGGCTCAGATCTGGTTCCCTCATGTATCGAGTTTAAAACCAGGTACCGAACAGTCCGTTACAGGAACTGGGTCTGTTCTGAGCGTGGTGGCAGAGGAGAGGGACTGCTGTGTGACTCGGGTGAACGTGGCCTGAGTTGACTCCATCGCATGCTTCTCACTCATTAGAACCGCTCCCTCCAAATCCTGATACGTTTGAAGATGTCTTTTATTTGTCCTAAACTTTTCCACATTAGCATTTTCAGATTGTTTTTGTAGCAGTCCCTAACAACTTAAAAACAGCTAAATCTCCTCAGCCTCCTCCAGCATCTGGTTCAAACATGCTGCTCATGTTCCTCCTCTCTTTTTTCGGTCTCTCAGTGGGACGAAGCTTTGTTCTGTCTCCTCTGACTCTCTCTGACAGCTTTTAATCCCTTTTTTACAGCCGATACAACCAGTAACCAAATACAGGTGTTATCAATAATCTCCATTACACATCAGCCATGTCAAAAAGTGAAGTTTTTCTCATCCCTGTTACAGCTCTGAAGCACGAATGCCTTTGAAACCTTAATGAGTCCCAAGCACTTTCAAATCCTCTGCTTTCCATTGGTAAGTTCAAAACAAGCGGTCGGCATTAACACAACATTTGGGCGCAGCAGTTTTACCGAACCCGGAGTTGGCCCGGCGTTCCTTCTTCTCACTCCCCTCTGCGTGTTTAAGCGAGGACAGTTAATCGTACGAGTGTTTGTGACTGCGGCGTGCATGCACAGTTTGAATGCACGAGAGCCGAACCCCGCAGCGGCGGTTAAAGAGCCACTTCCTAAAGTTCAGATTCAGATCATTACAGTCCAATATTTAGAGCTGACTGTTATGATTGGCTGTAATGTAATACTGTCTGTTTACATGTGGTGACATGTTTAACTGGAACAGCTGGGCCGCATATGCAAACCAATTAATACATCATGCACAGAGAGTCCTGAGCTGGAGTCTGAGCGGTTCTGCTGTCAGAGTCGCTGCGATGTTTGCCGTCACTCCGAACCGTAACGTGATCTCTGAGCTGGTTCATCTTATAATAAAAACATCCGTTAGTTTTTAACGTCAGTGGGTTTGAAAAGACGTTTCAGCAGGTTTAAGTTTGTTTATTCTGATCAAGATGTTTATAAAGACGATTTTTAATCTGTTTGGAGTTGAAAAGGTTGAAATCTGAAATCTTTACGTCTTCATGTTAACAAAGCTTTTCATCAGGACTCTGCACTTTGTTACATGAAAAGCTTAATCCTGCTGTTTACCTGCTAATCACCGACTAAAGTCATGTTTAAAACTCTGCTTCACAGAGTTACGAACCACCCTGCAGTTATTTGATGTCGGCTAAACCTCCTGAGCCTCAGCTGGAAAGTAAAACTGGACTTTTGGATCATGGACCTGGTTCACCAAAGCTCCACTGATGCACACCCGTTCCATTTCCAGTCGGTCAACCATGAAGCCCAGAAGAACCAACTCCTTTATTTCTCATGTCAGAAACAGACTGGACACTAATTTCACTTATTTTCAAGCTGAAGTAAGTGAGTAACAAACTGCCTTTGGCGTCCACTACAGCTGTGGACATGGTTCGACTTAAATGACCAATCAGTGCGCTGCATGTGCAAATGCAAATGAGCTTTCTAAAGAAAAGGTGCTGAGAAAATTCATGAAAAATGAGATGAGCGCTTGGGTCGGAGTCTCTCAAAATGAACCGAATCAAGTGTCAGAGTCAGATCGCCTGCAGAAAACTGTAGTCTAGCTCACCTGACAGCTCTCCCTGCAGTTTTTATTTGAACTGTTTCATATTCCACTGTGACTAAAACACCGACTGATGACGTGTTAGTGTTGTGTCGTTTGTCGATGATCCGTCGAAAAGAACGAATCTTCTAAGTGAACCGAAATGCGTAGCCACAACACACTCATCTCCTGGTTTCAAAAGCCGTGAACTGAAGTAAAATCTAGACTGTTCAACTCTGTATCAGTTCAGGTTCAGGAAGTCAGAGTCTCAACCCCAATTTCCGCCGCATCCAGAACGGCTACAAAAAGGTCGAATCCTCCGATCGTAGCTGATCGTAACCATTCAACTTAATTTCCACCGGCTTCTTTCCGTTCCGCTTCGCAATCTACAATCTACCGCTTTTACGGTTAACCTCTGTGGCCTAAAGAAAACTTGTTATCACGCAATTGCATGGGTTCTTGTGAGTTCTCGCGATTACCGCTGTCCATTATCCGCCACGAAATTCGCCTCACCAATGGACCTGGTAAGAATTGGCAGACGGCTTAAATCGCCGCCGTTCCAGATGCGGTGAAAACTGGGGTTCAGGCTCGTCCTGCCAAGTGCTGAAAGATTCAGTGATTCAGTGAACAAATCTTTTTAGTGAACTGATTCTGGTGATTCAGCACATCTAAACGAACTGCTGTGCCCATCACTATGACATGTAACTGATACAACCTCACTTTGAAAATACTGAAATATTCCTCTGAGACACTAAGACTTTAGAAAGAGCTTCCTCAGGAGAAAAGGACATCAAATATCTATAAATGACACCTGGTTCCTGTCGAATTAAAAAGTGCTCCAATTATTAAATAAAAAAAAGAGTAGTTTATTTGTTTGTATTGAACGTGTGAACGTCTGACAGTAAAGAGGAGGAACTCTGAACTTTAGCGTTTGCTGATTTTTCTTTAAGTCAATAACTCACTTTACAGAAATCCATCCTGGCATAATTGACATCAGATTGATTTCGACTGGATTTGCAGTGAAGTAAAAGTTTCCATGATCTAAAATAAAACTCACAGCTCTTCATATTATCGTCTTTCACTGAACTGTTGATTCCTCCAGCAGCAGAGTTTCATACACTGTCTGTTAAACTCGTTTAAACTAATGATCAGCTCCGACTCCTGGAGTCCATTTTTACACTTTCAGTGATTCTTCTGCATCAGTGTAAACAAAGACCGTTCTGCGTACCTTTACACTCTTTTTCTCTCACACCTTTAAACATTTCTCCCCCGTCTCTCTCTCTCTCTCTCTGTCTTCACACAGGTCCTCTGGAGCCCCGTTAATAAGCATGTGTTTGTAATTACATCCCGGTGACATAGAGGTGCCCTGGCACACAATCACTGGCAGCCCTCGTCATGTGTGTGCCCCCTCCCAGCCCTCGGCACCCACCGCGCCAACCCCTGTGCCCAAAATAGTTTAATGAGGAGCGTTTTAATGCCTTTATTATGGCAGAAACTGGCAGCCCAACGCCGCGCCGCCCCCACCTCGGCTCGCTAACTAACCGCCAGAGGTAATACAGTGTGCCCTCAGGATCGGGGAACATTTAAAGGCTTTGTTGCTGTTTAGTTTTTAATAAGCTAACCCGTAACCACACACTCCTGCCTGCACGCACTTACCTCTGCATGCATCTCGCCTTCGTGCAAAAAAAAGCACAGCCGTGCACGAACGCGGACACATACTGCGCAATCAGGCGTCCTCGGGGGCCGTGATTTACTACCAGGGACTATTTTATTAATTTAATTACACATTTACAATCAGTCTTCTCAGGAAAACAGGCAGGAAAGTGCTGCCTGTGTGTTTTTGGCCTTGTTTTATTTAACGGCAGAAAGAGAGAGAGAGATGTTTGATTTTACGAGCGGCCTGAAGGTTTCCTTAATGTGTTAGAAACACAAAGGGTGTGTCCTGTAAAGAAAGGCTCTTTAATACTCTCTCTCTCTTTATTTGTTTGCTTTCTCCTCTTTAAATCTGAACCCGCCCCACGAGGGAAACAATCACTCACCATAAAACAAACAGGGAAGCCATTTTTCTAAACTCAAACTGTCCGTCAAAAACATCAGCAGCAGGAGGAGGATCTGCTTTTTGTTCCACTGGATCAGAACGGGTCATTAGTCTGTGTCAGACGGTTTCCCACATGACAGGACGAGAGCTGAGCTGTCGTCCGTTTGACTCAGAGAGAGATGAAATATGCATGTTTGACTTCTGAAGGGGAAAAACCTGCCGCAGTGTTTTCAGAGCTTCGAGACAAACCATGAAATAACACAGAGACACAGGACAGCTGTTTCCAAACGGAGGTCGAAACTCAGAAAGAAAATAGTTTGTTCAACTCGAAGGTCATCAAAGCTTTACTTTCATGGAGGGTCAGAATGAGTCGATGGTTCAGGCAGCAGCAGCTGAACGGACCTCATCTGATCCTCACCCCCAATTTCCACCACATCCGGAACGCCGCCGCTACAGAACGGCAGCAGTTTTCGCCATCCGCCAATTTTTGCCATCTGACAATTCCTACCGGTTGCATTTGTGAGATGAATTTCATAGCAGATTTTAGACAGCAGGAATCACGAGAACTCACAAGAACCCGCAGATTCACGTTCAATCGAGTTGAGATTTCAATTGAGATTTCCTAAAATTAAAGGTCTTAAGTTAACTGAAATAAAAACATCTTAAAGGACTGTGACTGGATCGATTGACCTGAAATAGTTAAGAATCGTGATGGTCCGATTACTGATGCTTTCAAAGAAGTCGGGAAATCCAAAACAAGGTCCCAGACCTCCATGGTTCATACTAGTCTTGAGCTGTTGAAACCAGAACCACAAAGCTTAAGTCAGAACCAGGAGAGTAACCCCTAATTTTCACCACATCTGGAGTGGCTCCGATCCGGAAAGGCAGCGATTTTAGCTGTACGCCGATTCCTACCTGATCCGTTTGTGAGGCGAATTTTGTGATGGATTACAGACAGCAGGAATCACGAGAACTCACAAGAACCCGAGGATTCACGTTCAATCGTGCGATAACGAGTTGTCTCTCTAAAGACAGACACATAGACATATAAGCAGTAGATTGTGTCCTTCCAGAGGAGGAAATCTACTTCTAGACTTCTAGAATCAGCATCTCCTCATCCATGGTGTCATCGGGGTGAAATGACGTCTAAAAACCTTTCACTTGTTTGTCTCCGTCCGAACAAATGAAAGGTTGTGTTTTATTTTGAAAAGAAGCCGGATGTTTTATTTTGTGTCTGTGCCCGACTTCCTTCCAAAGTCCAGCTATGAAGCTCACTGAACCGCAGGGGGAGGAGAGAAGCCGATGGATTTTGACACATTGACTTAAATGGAAACGATCAGCTGCAATGGGCGCATACGACCTTTTCGCAGCCGTTCCCGATGTGGTGGAATTTGGGGTTGACTGTCAAATGGATCTGATCGGAGTTCGTCCAAGTTCTTGTTTTCTTTACTAACAGATGTGCACGTCCGCAGAAACCTGATAGGTGGAAGACGAAATACGATCATGAATGTAAGTCAACGAAGGATCGACCAAGTCTTCAAATATCTGTCAGATACGTCTGCTGAGTCGGGGGTTCAGTTTTTGACCAGGTCTTCAGTGAATTCTCCTCCTGTTCCTGTCTAGAGTTTGACTGTAGTTGGTCGTCACATGGAGGTCTTTCTTCAGGGTGCGGTCCCTCAGTGCTGACAAACTTACAGTGAAGTTAGTTTGAGGTTGTTCTGACGCTCAGATGGACTTTCACCTTTTTCTTCAAGTGCAGGAGAGACTGGAGGTGAAAACAGGTCAAACACACACAGAGACGCTGAAACACAGCTCAGGTGAATAAAGCTCAGGCCCATATTCAAGTGTTTTCTGCCATATTGGTGTATTTTAAAATGAGAGTCTGTTAGTAGAACATCAGAAAACCAGTCCAAGATGTAGTAAAACAAAGTTAAAAGACTCTTATTTAAGCATCAAAAGTATTAAACCCTGAAGAGAATCGACTCATTACTGTCTGAAAGTCGGAGTTGTGTTGAAAATGAACATGTGGTCGATCCTGATAACACTTTGGTAAATTGAATTGAGGTCCGGTTCTTGTCAATCAGAGAAAAACAAGTCTGATTTCTTCACTCCCCTCTCTCCTTTTTCCTCACTCCCTTTAATTTGCCTTTCCAAACCACTCCAGTCACATTAACACATGACATTACAACAGGCTCTGACAGTTTCAACTTCAAATTGTCAAAAAAAAAAAAACGTGTTTGTGAACTTGCGGTGTACGCTGCGTGTCCTGGAGGCAAACCCTCTCCCTGGTGTTGTAATCTGAAGAACGTACAGTACCAAATCTCAGCGCTACAAAAGGTCGTGACCCCCAGCTGAGAAGTTAGTGGGCGTACATCGAGCAATCATCCTATCACCCCTCTCTATAGGGGCTGGTCAGATGTGCTGCCGTTTCCACGCACAGATCTGTCGTTAGCATGTGGCCGTCAGCGCTCAGGGAGGTTCGTCTGCGGTGGAAAACATCAGTCAGCCGCCAGCGTCTGACAGAACTCATTACTCACGTTACCGTCTGACGATGGCAAGGAGCCTCAGCTTCAAGTCAAGACATCCAGCATCGCCTGCTATTTGGGCCCTTTGAGCGCCGGGGCAGAACACACACAGACAGGGCTAAACGCAGCCAGCGTAGCCACCAGGAATGTGTTTTCGCCTTATTTCTGTTGACGTGTAAGAGCGGCGAGGGAGAAGCATCTGTCTTCGTTTTCCCTGAAACTCTATATATGCAGAACAAGCCCTAATGCTGTCATTACACGTACTGTCTTATTGCTGCAAATCAAACCCACCGTCCTGGAAATGGTCATAGATACGGCTGACAGTCACCCAGTGTGTGTGTGTGTGTGTGTGTGTGTGTGTGTGTGTGTGTGTGTGTGTGTGTGTGTGTGTGTGTGTGTGTGTGTAGACGGGTCACCTCTTAGGGTCGCTGTAACGAAAGGGTACGGGTTCATTTGTAAAGCTCTGAGGGGTGCAGGGGTCTCTGAGGGACACACTTGAGAGTCCTGAGTGGACCAGAGGGCACTTTGGGGACCAGGGGTCAACAAGAGGGGCACTCAGGGGTGAACACAGTGGCACTCAGGTGGACCAAAGGGGCAAGAAGACCACCAGGGGTCACTTGGTGAAACCCAAGTGGCACCAAACAGTGTCTCCTGGACTGGTCTTGGGACGCTAGGAGGCTACAAGTAGGATGACGGGGCAAGGTTCAGATCCTCATCAGAGTCGGAGTCCATCCAAGTTGATTGCACAGACCAGGTCTGGGTTGGACCAGAGCAGGATGAGCTCTCTGAGACCAACCACAGGGGGTCTAGTGCTGGACTTATCGGCACTCAGGTGGACCAAAAGGGGAACAAGGCCCCCGTTTGGCCTCTCTAGCTGCCCACAGTTGAAATTAATGGCACCCAAGTGGACCAGAGTGGCACCAGGACCATCAAAGTCCAAACTCATATGGTCTAGAAGGGCACAGGATGACTTATCCCAAATTTCCACTGCATCCAGAACAGCTACGATCCAGATCAGCAGCAGTTTTCGCCCTTCGCCGATTCCTACCAGATCAGTTTGTGAGGCGAATCTTGTGGCAGATTACAGACAGCAGGAATCACGAGAACGCTCAAGAACAAAGAGAGTTTTATTTTGAAAAGAAGCCGGATGTTTTATTTTGAAAAGAAGCAGGATGTTTTATTTTGTGTTTGTGCCCGACTTCCTTTCCATCACGGGTTAATCTGTGCTGAATTTACAGAGAGAGGAAGTGTCAAAGTAGCTTTACGTACAGTTTTAGCTGCGCTCTGATTGGTGCAAACACACACACACACACACACACACACACACACACACACACACACACACACACACACACACACACACCTCTGTGACTACACTAAACTTATGACACCTGCTAACATTCACGTCTGTTACTGAGCACAGCTTGAATTATCGAGGAAGAAATGATTTCCCATCACCGCCGCCGCCGCAGCTGCCGAGCGCCGTACAAGTTGACTAACCTCTGGCCTGCAGACGGCAGATTATTACAAGAATTTAGCTTAATGAAAACAGACACACACGCATTAAGCCGTCACAGGAAGAATGAGTTGCAGCGGAGATTACAGCATCCTCCTCCGTGAGTCAAACGTGTGATGTGCTTTACGAGGACGAGGGAAAACAACGCCACATGGATCCACTTTGATTTCACAGACGGAGGATCTGTTGGCTTCACGCTGTCCGAGGTCGTGACACGCACATCCACAAACACAAACACCCTCTCTGAGCCGTAATCAGACCTAAATCTATCTATGCTGTAAAATATTTACGACTGCACACAGACGTTTGTTATTCCGTATGAGAAAAAGTGCAGATCCATGTGTGTTTATGTGTGTGTGTGTCAGTGTGTATATGTGTGTGTTGTGGAGCGGGGGTTGGTTTTAAATTAGACTGTAATTGAAAACAAATCCACATAGTAGTTTTCCTGGAGCTTTAATGAGGTTAAGTCACCGTCAGTCAGAGTGAGGGATCATGTGAGACGCAGACGTGAGAGTTGCTGCGCTGCGCCTTCGCTGCTCCTCCGTCATGGGAGAATAAAGCCAACATCACACCTCATCCATCCAGCTGCTGGACAACTGCCACACACACACACACACAACATCACATCTACTCACACACACACACACCTATGATTTAACCCCAGGAGTGCTCATTCCACAAACGACCTTGTACTGTCCTTGACTTTACTGTAGCATCAGCACTAGCTAAGCGTCGATGCTCAATATGAGAACTAATGAACAGTAAAATCCACTCAGTTTGTGAGACCGACAGCTTTACCCGAGGCTGCTCTCTCATTGGCCGCCTTTATTTCTACTCTGGGTGCAGCTCTGGACACTGTGTGCCCCCATCTTGTCATCTGCTCGGTCCTTTCTGTGCGCAAAGGTACCGCAAAACAGGGGCAACTGTTAGGAGTCCAAAGGTCAAAGGTAATCGGATCCTTTGCCGTTACCAGTGTGACTAATGGGGCGTTCACCAAAGCGTGAGTACAATCATCTACTCACTTAATTCATGCGTATCTAGACACGTGAATGAAAAGTATTTACTCGCATCATTTGCGCGAATGATTTGCGCGTCAACAGAGTGCCTAAAAGCCGTGGATATCCGTTTCTGCTCATTTCAACAGTGATCCTCGCCAATCAACCTCCGGGACCAAGAGATAGAAAACAGTTTTTTACAACTTAGCAGATAATCAAACCTCTTCACCTGGAAAAAAATCGCCCAGAACCGAAGTTCCTTTTCGTTCCTGTTTTATTTAAAAAAGACGTGGATGTGAGAGAGGGGGAGAGTCTCCATCAAGCATGGTAGGAGTGAACCACGTTCAGTTCGGTGGAAGGCCGACAACCTTCAGAGATGTAGGCACCGCCATGTCTGGGTCTCCCCCAATAGCTACGCCCGGATGACGGCTGTTTCCAGCGGTATTTTCAGGTTACCAGAACACAATTTGACGACCTGTTGGTGAGGGTCGGTGTCAGGATGTCCCTCCAGGATACCGATTACAGGCGCTCTGTCCCAGCTGAAGCGCGTCTGTCCATCTGTCTACTGTGAGTAAAAAGATCTTCAGGCCCGTTTTCATACGTCACTCAAGGATCTTCATGTTAAATGGTTATCGCGACTTGAATATTTGCTCAAGTTGAGATATTTTTAACTCAAGGTCAATCCACATGATTCGTTGTTTGGAATGATTCCGGAATAACCACGCCCACCGCCGTATTGGCACGGATCAGATATTTTTGAGCACATCTTGGAAACCCTGATGATGGTTTTTACATGAAGGTAGATTTCCTCACACTGTGATTGATTTGATGCTGAATGTGTTGTTGTTGTGTGTCTGTAAGCATGTAGCCATCTGTGTGTGTGTGTTGCATGTTACTGGATGAAACCCCAGCCGAGCAGTAATACATCATACTGGTGGGAGTTGGTTCCTCACCACATCTCCTTCAGTCTGGGATATTAAAGCCCTCAGCTCAGTGCATCATCTTGAGAAAACCTCCGATGTGTGGCAGCCAAAGCTCAGCAGTGCCCTCTTATTTTAGCAGAACAAAAGCTTGGAGCTGTCAGAAAACTCCCATCTGGAGCCGGAGAGAGAGAGGCTTCATTGTTCTCGCTCCCTCCACCTCTCCTCCACGACCCCATCTTCCTGTTGTGCTGGCTTGGCGTCGAGAAGGGGATTTTTATTTTGGTTTCTCTGCTGGAGGTCAAAGTTCCCTGGGATGTGGAATCAGAGGAGACGTTGCCATGTTTCCCCTCCCTCGTTTTTCAACCCTTCCCAGCAGTCCCTCCGGGGAGAGCGAGCCGCGCATTTCATCTTCCATGAGAAACGGCAGCGAGCAGCGGCGGCGGCACAGAGCTGTGTGATCACACGGAGAGCAGAGGGTCTGTGCAGGCACGCAATCCCACGTATGATGCAGGCATGCGAGGGAGCACATGTGCTGCTGCAGATGGTTTCACACACACACACGCCCAGACACTCAGATGTTGCTCAATCCTCACAGTTTATTGATTGTTTTATAACCTGGGAGATGTTTGTGAATCATTTATAAGAGTATTTTACCCATCATGCACTCCCTCGCTCCAGATTCTGGAGAATTTTAGTTTTTAAGCTTTTAAACGGTTCCAGAAGTACCTTAGTACTGAGGGGTGTGCCACAGGGCTCTGCTTAAGGTCCACTTCTTTTTACTATTCCGAAGAAACTGTTGAGCATATTTTTGTGCAACCAGTGTGAGTTCAAGGAGAAGGTTAGGTACGGTGACGCCGCCGTCATTTGGGGGCAGACGCTCTTCTACAGTTACACTTTTGTGTTCAGGCATGTGTGATGTACTTTTCCTCGACAGCTAGCCATGAAACGAGAGGTGGTCCGGAGCTTCAGGCAGCGATAAACGGAACGCTGTGTTTTGTCTAAACATCCAAAACAGCGACGAACAACAAAATCATCAGCAAAGTCACGATTATCAGACGGCTAACAAACGGCACAGAGCTGAAAAACAGGGATGTGTCGCCCCCTACTGGAGCAGAGGCAGACATGCTTCTGACAAATCGCCTGATCGAGCTCGACTTAAGTGTTCATGTAAACGCTCTGAGTGACGGTTGGTGATGGAGGTTGCAGCCATAACTCATGGCGAGGAGTCGTCATCACAGAGCTAAGGAGTTCCCGGCGCCGCCGACAAGTTTCGTGTCTCTTCCTCGCTGCACAGTTAGTGAACAGCTGTGAAACCAGATCCAAACGGCAACTCTTTGGCGTGACCTTTGACCTTTACACTAGCATTCCGTCCAGTATGGCCTCCGGCTCTCTGCTGTAAGAATGTGGTGGTTAAATACGGACCTAAAAGAAGACTTCTTGACTGACTTTGATTTTACGAGACAAGATTCCAGCTTCATTACCTTCATTATGATTTCAGTTAGGATGAGAAGGAGAGGTAAAAAGATGAGAGAGAAATCGGAGACAGCTCCCCCTACTGGCTGACTTCACTATAGCTCAACATAGAGTCTGTCTCCTCCATGTTAACAGATGAGACATGAGTCAAACTTTAAAATAAGAGTTTAGATCGAGTAAATGTTTCTCAAACATGTTTTCTGTCATCACAGTTTTTAATAACGCTGATCCACGGGCGTAGGTCATAGGTCATAGGTCAGACGCCAAATCATAAATCTGTGAGATGTCCGTTCTCATCATGGGGGCGGGGTTTGCCTTTATTTTGTACAACAAGAAGAGGTGGAGCCAATCGTTTGTGATAGGACTGAAAATGTTCGGCTGTATCGTCCCGTTCAGACTCGTGTTGAGGGGGCGTCTGGTTTAGAAGTGGACCCTCCGGTCACTGTTTCCGCTCTGAAGTATTTTTCGCAGCGTCGCGCTCGAGCTCATGACTCACAGCGGACATGTTTTGATGACACGCCTCCGTGTGATGCCAGGTAAGCGTCTGACACAGAGTGAGCGAGCGTGGCGGCCGCAGACAGACTGACAGTGCTGATGACTCTCTTGTTGTTTCCCTGCAGGATGATGAGTCATTAAGTGTTTTAGGAGGCCTTTAGACGCCCCCCCCTCCTCCCGCCTCGTCCTGCCCGGTTCAGCCCGGCTCTTCACTGCGAGTCAGGGGGGGTTTCATATTTTCCGTGCACTGTGTCCAGGACATTTACAGTTGGCGTCAGGGTACGCTGTTGGTCTGAGGAGAGGCACTTTGAAGTGTTTGCGGTTTCGCCACATCTGCAGGCAAGATGTGCAAACGGGGAGGTGGGAGGAGGAGGAAGGAGGGAGGGGGCGGGTCAGGGGAGGAGGTGGAGAGTTTCTGTCAGAGCTTCTTATGTCATGTGACAATGAACAACATCCTTTAACTCTTTCTGAGGATCGATGGCAGAAGCTCCTGGTTCGACGACTCCTCAGACCTCCTGGAGGAGTCGTTTTAGTTTTTCCATCATAAATAATCCGTGCACGTTGAAGCAAGAGGGAGCTGAGGCTGCAGTGGAGCGTGCACGCTTACACAGGCGGGGAGGTGTCGCTGCGTTAAATCTGCAAAACGCCTCACATGACTCCGGCGTCATAACGAGAAAACTGTCTGAGCCGATTAAACTCTTGTTAGAACAACTTTGCAGAATCATTATCCGTCTAAATTTAGTGAAAAGGCTATAAAAAGAGCGATCCAAACATCAGCATCACGCTTTTAAGAGTCCAACCACAGGGCAGGGGTGAAGCCAGGGTGGTGCCTCATTTCCCTCATTAAACTGCGCCTCGTCACCCGTTAAACTTCTCGTCAGACGTCGTTTGTCTCCGTCTGATCCTCGTTGTCAGGCCCGAACTTCACCCCTGCAGCCGCCAAAGTCAAGCGGAGCGTCTCTGCAGAATTAGGCCCGAGCCGCAGAGACATCGGTTTAATCATCAGTTTATGGAGCTGGATTTCGCTGAGCCCATAGTCGCCGCGCCCACAAGTATTTTCACATTTCATTAGCTCGTGGGCTTTGCCAGGGCGGCGGTGAGCTGGTGTTGATCCCAACGCTGGAATTTGACTTCTCCACTTTCCACACTTGTGTTCCCGCCATATTCCTCTCCCTCCCATGCTCTCAGACGCCGGCGCTGCCATTTGTAACCATTATTAAAGTCATATTTCACAGCTTAGTTCATAAAATTGCTCAACTTGCTTCAAATTAGCAGGATTGCCTCGCTCGCTCGCTCACTCGCTCGCCCCCTCCCTTCTGCAGAGCATCCCGGAGAGTGATGGGTGAGCGCCGGGGTGAGCACAGTCTCTGCGAGCCGCCACCTCAGGTCAGGATCACTCAGCTCACATCAGGTTCAGCTTTGAGTTTTGGCTCCTGAACACATGGCAGCAGATTTCCTCACACCGTAAATACGGTGACTGTGACGCGGTCTCTGCTTACACACACACACACACACACACACACACACACACACACACACACACACACACACTCACCACCTGAAACACCAACAGATTCCTCCTCAATTATTAAAAAAAAGTCCAGAAAAGGTCGTTTTGATTTTCTCCTGCTCAACAGTTCAGGGTCTCCTGTTTTTGGGGTCCTGCATCAGTCCAGCTCCTCAGCAGGACTCTTCTCCTACAGAGCCATGCTGTTGTCAGAATGTGGTTTGGGATCACATGAAGATCTTCCCTGAAAAAGTCTTTGTCAGCAGATGTTGCTCCTAAACCTGTAGATGTAATTTTGCAATAATGGAGCCTGTACAGATGTGGGAGATACCCATGACACGGACTCTGGCCCAGACTATCAGTGATGCTGGATTTGGACTGAGAGCTACTCTTTAAAACTGAGGACGCAGCATCTATGATTTCCAACTCTTTGTTGAAAGGACTTAATTGACTTAATTGGACTTAAGTAAGTCCAGTTGTCCTTTCCATGCATAGATTCCCACTCCAGAGTTCTGTCTCTTGACTAGACAAGCTCTCACGAGATCTTGCGTGTTTCCCCTGGAGTCATAGTATGAGATCCACTGATCTGTGTATATAAACACCCACATCCCACAACCCTGACCTCTCCTATTATCAAGTGAAGAACAGTTCAACGTATCGATTTCTTTTAATTCTGAAAATTAACAGGATATTTTTCTCTGTAGCCACAAACAACTTCTGCTGCCGCTCGTGCTGCGCTGCACTGAATTGATGCGCCGAACTGCGGCGTCCTTGCGTATCTGATCCGGCCGCCGGAGCTGATCAGCAGCAGAGCCACATAACAGACGGATTCTGTGGAATGACACACATTGATTATAATGCTTGCTATAAATATTTGATCCTCCTGCCGTGCCGCAGCGGAGCCATTCCTGATCCTGTGGGTTTTGCCCGTTATCCTGACACTGCTGAACTCTTATCTCACGCAGTTTCTCACAGAGTCCTAAACCTCTTCCATCTTTCCTTCTAAGAGACTCAACCTCTCTGAATGTCTGTCTTAGACCCAGTCATGTGACTCTATTCCACTCACATTAATGTAAATATATATTTCTTAATTCAATTTTAAGAGTCATCATCTTATTTACTCTCACGTTACCTCAAACAACCCCCTTTTTTTGGATCATTCAGCCCAAAGGACTGTAAAGTTTGACTAAAAATGTCGCCCATGTGAGTCCAATAAATCCCCCCCACACACACTCTCATCGTAGCCGGCGGAGTGTTTCAAAGTTCCCCTTGTATACAAGCCCAGAACACGACTGAACAATGTCTCCCTCCATCATAAACTCCTTTAGTGTGGTCTGTAAAAGTTCACTTCCTGTTTTCCTCCACATGCAAACACCCTGTTTGAGGTCGAGGATCTCTGAGCGGCACTAAACCAGGAGAGGAAAATAAGAAACACTCACAGAGACTAAAGATGCTGCAGCTCTTTCCTGCGTGGGAGTCTCAGCAGGATAAAGAGTCAATTCAGACTGAAAGAGGCGTTCACTGTCCCCGTTTTCACTGCATGTGTAATTGATGCATTAGAAACACTGACTGTCCTCACCAGGAAAACGACAGAGCTGCTTGTTTCTGTTCAAATGCCTAAAACAACTTTCATTTACATTTCTCTGGCATGCTAACTCACATGAATGTATGATTTATAAGTTTTGACTCAAATAGCTGCGATGCTCGAAACAAAACTGTGAGCGTTGTACGAGGTCAAGCTTCTAGAAAAGTCAAAGAATTACAGTTTGGTTTGAGAAAATGTCAAGAGTTAAAATAACGGATGAATCAAAACTTCCCTGTGGTGTTTCTAAACGGTGACTGTGCCCTAAACTGTTACCACGAGAAGTCCGATCTTCACTTGAAACAAGAAAAATCCACAGATAATTATATTTTAGCACACATGTAGGCAGCTGCTACACTTGTAGAGAGCTTTTGCATAAGGCTGCAGCTGCATATAGAATCTGCTGTTTAACATGCAGGCAGCTGCTGTACATAAATGTAGCTGCTACGAAATAAAGGCAGCTGCTGCATGTTATATGTTTCCGTACATGCAGGCAGCTGCTACACATGTCAATTTCTGCTTTAAGTGTAGGCAACTACTACACTTGAAAGTAGTTGCTACCAAAAAGGTGTTGTTCTATGTTATTTGATGTTGCAAGTGCAGGCAGCTGCTGCACATGCAATCTACTTCGGTACATGTAAGCAGCTGCTACACATGAAGGCAGCTGCTATCTGAAAAAGCAGCTGCTGCATGTTATATGTTTTTGTACATGCAAGCAGCTGCTACACATGTCAATTTCTGCTGTAAGTGTAGGCAGCTGCTACATTTGAAAGTAGCTGCTACCGAAAAAAGCAGCTGCTGCATGTTATATGTTTTTTTTACATGCAGGCATCTGCTGTACATGTAATCCACTTTTGTACATGTAGGCAGCTGCTACACATGAAAACAGCTGCTGTTGGTGTTAGATAACAGCTACTGTGCATGCAGGCAGTTGCTACATCAGAAGGATGCTGCAGCACATGCTGGCAGCTGAAGCACATAGAAAGCTGCTGCTGCTGCTTGTGTGGACTACTGTTGTTAATATAGGCAGCTGCTACATCTGTAATCATGTCGCTCATGTGCATTAAGTAGCTGTGTGTGTAGGCAGCTACAGCAGTAATGAGTAGTCCTTATTTATCTAGGTAGCTCCTCCACATGTAAACAGAGCTGCCTAAACTTCTACTGCAGCTGCTGCTGCACCAGCTGGTATCTGATGCACACAGGCAGCTGCTTCATGTGAATGCAAGAAGTGTAAATTTAAGCAGCTTCTGCACATAAAGTCAGATGTTTTCCATTTAGGTAGCAGCTGCATATTAACAGTTGAAACAGGTAATGCAAGCTAGAGCTAATGTAGGCCCCTGTAGTACGTAAAGTAGGCAGGTGCAAACTTAGAAAAGTGGCAGAATTTGACCGCCTGTTTGTCCTCTGCTGCCTGCTAGAAGTCTGCATGAGCTCTTTAATATCTCCAGCACTCATTTCATTTATTGCTACTATAATAAAATCTGGTAACTGGAGCTTTAATGAAGTGTTGTGCTTTTTTGATAAACATACCAATACAGTAAAACAAGTATTGTTGTAAAACCTGGCAGTAAACATGCAAAGACGATGCCAGTGAAACATGTAGTTTGTCCAATTACTAATGTCGTAATTGGACAATTTTTTGAGTTGGCTGAGTGCTGGTACTGCAAATTGCTTTCACATACATGTACACACACACACACACACACACACACATCCGTGCACATACACTGGGCTCCACAAAATGAAACTGAATAATAAACTGTTGGCATCAAACCTGCACTTATTCTGAAAGTGAACCCCCATTGGCAGAAACCAGCTCTGCCTCCCGAGATCAAGAGACAGGAAATACCTGCCGACTCTTTCAGTCCCTGCAGATTTACTGGAGCAGCTAATGGCTCCTACAGCGAGGCCTGTTTCTCTGCCCACCCCCCTTTTATGAATGCATCACATTACACAAGCCAAACACACACATGCTCACTCTGAATCTTTTATGCTTCAATGCTTTTTGCTTTATGTGGCGCCTTTAGCCTGAATATTGTTACTACCCGGGTAGAGTTTTGTGTTGTGTTCTTATCTGTATCATGAGTGAAGTGGGATGATGTCTGAAGTTCCTCGCAGTGGATCCCACTGTCGGCCAGATAACGTGCAGCGTTCCGTCTGAGTCGCTTGTCCTTCTTGGTTCCCCACTGAACCTCCTCAGTTTGGAATCTGAATCAGTCAACAAGAAAACAGTCTTCACAGAGAGAGTGCAGAAAAAACAATCATTACTATTGCTGTGTTCAAGTCTCCTCGGAAGTCAGATCTCGGAGCTGAAAATGACGTCACACCTGAGTTACCAGCGCAAGTCGGAAAAAAGTTGTTTTAGCACTTGCCCTGTCCTTGTTTTATTCGGACAAGGCAAGCGCTAAAATAACTTTCGTAGACGTAGCCATCTTGTTTCCACCTCCGATTTTGTTTTTTTCTGACCTTGTTACTGAAACGCTGGTAACTCGGGTGTGACGTCATTTTCAGCTCCAACATCTGACCTCCGAGGTAACTCGAACGCAGCATATCTGTTCAAATCATGACGTCTTTCTACTTCCACTCTCCACTCTTTTTCACTCTATATCTTCCATATCTATACCCAGATGTATATACAGCATTTCGAGTCTTGTAAATTAGTCTGTATATTTTTACAGTACAGGGTAAGTATTTTATCATGACAATTACCAATCATGAACTCATATTTTAACGTAACGTCACCCTATTAAAATAATGGCCTATGTCATTTTGTGATGAAAATGAGTTTTTGTCTTAAATCATCTCTTGGTAATGCTGGCCATCGCTGGTAAAATCACCTAAATCCTTAGTTGAAAGGATCATGCCATGGCCCACAACTGCCATTGACATCATGACATTGACTGACACGGGGCTGATGAGGCTAAGGTACTTTGTGATTTAAATCACATAAATTGGTTTAGTAAACATGTGGGTTACATTTAAATTTTGATTAAACAAATAAACAATGATCCATTCACTCTGCGTCCAGACCAAATAGCTCTGCTGGAAACTAACAGGGGGCTCTGCATCAGTACAAGCGTGTTTAGGGTACGGCAGACACAATGAAACTGGATCCAGGAAGTCCAGTTGGAGGAACAGGTCTGTAGTTTTTTTTTTTCATTTTAACGCTAAAATGTCTCAGGACCAGCCGGGTCAGTTTACAGGTTCACTGGATTTAAAATCATCAACAAATAAGCAAACGACAAAATCAGTTTGTTGAAAGCATCACAAATTTGTCGCTTACTTTGCAAATTTCAGGCCCAGATTGATGCCATTTGTATTAAACAAGAAGAAGTCACGTCTGTTTATTAACTCTACACCTGTGCAGGTAATTTTACATCCCAAAAATATATATACCTATTTGAGAGGATTTTGCTCTTTGTTTAACTCAAAGTAATGGCGTTCAGTGAAACTTTAGTCACATCCTCAGCAATAGAAATACACCAAGAATCTAGACGAGACTTTAATTTGCATGCAACTTAGAAGATGACAATGCTGCATGTGCTGCATCTCTACAGGTGTTTTTTTTTAGAGAGGTGGGGGGTTGACATTTGATCATTATTTCCTCATAGTTCAGACACTACTGAAGCAAATATTGCACTTAAAACTCGGGGCTAAATGGGAGAAGTCACTTAAAAGTTCAAAAATGAACAAGATAGCAAAAGAAAAACGAAGATGATAAAAATGTGAATACTGTCCTCTAAAGTTGACAAGCGTGATATTTCAGATATATGTGAACTTCAGTCTGCATCACAAGACAGAGCTGAAGTTCACCGAGTTACTCTCCACCTCTGATGCTCCCTCGTTCACCGCACACACACACACACAGCAACACTTGACTCCCTGAAGACACACAACACGCTCCAAACCTCTGCCTCTGCTCTGACTCACTTTGGAAAAAAAGATTTAATCATGGGAGTAAATTGGCGCGGTGGAAAAGTGATTGGTCGGGGCATAATGTGCATGTGCGAGCCATTTGGACTCATTACGCCGTGATCTGAAAGGTTATGGAATTGAAACCAGCACGAGGGACGGAGCTTCCAAGGGCACCGAGAGCACCGGGCCCCGAGAGCGGCTCCACATGTTGTCAGACAACACGCTACCACGGCAACATCAAGGGGGGGGGAGGCATGAATTGTGGGTAGATCTAATTGGGTGGCTCTGCTCTCAAACCTCACTTACAGCTATGAAAAGAGGTGTTGGTTGTTCCAAATTACGCTGAATTAATGTATACACTCGCACTTACCGCACAAACACACACACACACATGGCGTCATCTGAGAGTGTTTGTTTCCAGCTGTGATTGGCTGTGTGCTTTCGAACCTGCGGGCTGTTTGCTGTGAAGGAGCCAAGCGGATCGTTTTACAGGAGAACAAATAAAACGTAAACATTCAGGGCTCTCTTTTTTTATTCAAGGAGCTGAAACAGGACCGAGTTAAGAAGTCCGACTTGGACATGATTCCTGTGAACGCCTCGTCTCGTCTGTAGATCCGAATGTCAGCACCAACAGTTGGACTTGTGTCACTTATTCATGTTGTCTTTGCTCGTGTTATACTCACTCCTAGATAGACTTAATTTTGGACTGAGCAGTATCAACCAATCAGGAAACAGCAGGATCAGTCTGTATGGAGAGCAAAAGCAGGAGGAACACGACCCTGTGAGGATTTGAGCTCTAAAGGCTGTTCATCGACACTTTCAGTTTTATTCTTCATTTTTAAACTTTTGCTAAAAAAACAAAGTTGATGATTTTAACTTCAAATCAAAACAGAAACTAAAGTTTGGCCATTTCTCGAAAATTAAGTCAACACAATGCAGTCCACACAAGGCAAACACACTGACCCCGAATTTCCACCGCACCCGGAATGGCTACGAAACGGTCGTATCCGCCAATCGTAGCTGCTTGTAACCATTCAAGTTAACGTTCTATTTCGTAAGAGTTCTATATTTTCTGGACGCCGGAGCATGGCGGATAAATTCAGCACAGATTAACCCGTGCTGGAAAGGAAGTCGGGCACAGACACAAAATAAAACACAACCTTTCATTTGTTCGGGCGGAGACGAACAAGTGAAAGGTTTTTAGACGTCATTTCACCCCGATGACACCATGGATGAGGAGATGCTGATTCTAGAAGTCTAGAAGTAGATTTCCTCCTCTGGAAGGACACAATCTACTGCTTATATGTCTATGTGTCTGTCTTTGTAGAGACAACTCGTTATCGCGTGAATCCTCGGGTTCTTGTGAGTTCTCGTGATTCCTGCTGTTTGTAATCCATCACAAAATTCGCCTCACAAACGGATCCCGTAGGAATCGGCGTACAGCTAAAATCACTGCCTTTCCGGATCGGAGCCACTCCAGATGCGGTGAAAATTAGGGGTTACTCTCCTGGTTCTGACTTAAGCTTTGTGGTTCTGGTTTCAACAGCTCAAGACTAGTATGAACCATGGAGGTCTGGGACCTTGTTTTGGATTTCCCGACTTCTTTGAAAGCATCAGTAATCGGATCATCGCAATTCTTAACTATTTCCCCCTGGTGTCAGGTCAATCGATCCAATCACAGTCCTTTAAGATGTGATTTCAGTAAACTTTTAATTTTAGGAAATCTGTTTGTTTTTCAGGTTCATCTCACTGCGGTGAAGTCTCTGTGTAACTCATGATTCACAGTGAAACTGAGACTGACCTCACACCTCGACCTTCATAAACTCAGTTTCTTTAAAGCTCGGGTCATGTCCTGCTGCTGGAAAAAGATCATGTGATATTGAATTAGTAGAATAACTGTTATTTCTACTTTTGAAATGGAGTTTTTTTCACTTCTCCTTGTGCTTGAAAAGCTGTCCGAAGAGTGACTCACATGCGAGCACAGTCATGCGTTTCTTTGCCAGCTGCAGATGGGAAATTCTTTCTTGTTGTTGTGAGCGATGCTTTCTGTCAGCCTCTGCTCAGCGGGAAACTCATTTTTGGGAAGAGAAATGATCCCTGCTCTTTTTCTGGCGCGGTCTCTTTCCCAGCGAACAGCTCCAGAGAGCGGCGGGCAGGTTAACCCGGAGGTGAGACCTGCTGTTCGTGCTCGGAGCGGTCAGGGTGTCGTCATTTGTCATTCTTTGTTTGGCTCAGCGATTAAACCCTCACAGTCAGCAGCACCTGATCTAAACCCACATTGGCTGATGAATTATTACACCATGCTCAGGCCCGGGCCTATAAAAAGTCTGTGTAACTAATCCCTGCCCTCTGAGCTGAGAGGGGCAGAAAAAAAAACATCCTCGGACCCTTTACGACACGCTGCGACGGTTAAAAAGGAGGAACAGCAGCCCAAACTTCATCAGGTCTGTTTTTTTTTTCTGCGACATGATTTACCATGAGAACCAGAGATGAAGAGGAGGCACATTCCTCCTCTGAATACTCTCTCAGGGAGCCCAGCTTCAGTTTACTCCGTCTAAACTGTGGAGGCTCCAGAGACCTGCTGAGGTTTCTCCGAACGTCCTCAAAGACTCGGCCTGTTTGGGATGAGAGTTTCTCTGTCTGAGCTGATGGCTGTGCTGTGGGGGGTGACCTCTCTGCTCCATCATTCCTGAGGGTGTTTACCGTCCCCACATCAGATGGCGATGAAGCTTTGTGAGCACCCTCTTGAGGCTGCAGCTGGTAACACATCCAACAGTGTGAAAACAACAACAGGAGTTTATGGCTGTGTCTCATTTCAGAGACCGTATCGAGCTAAGTGCACTTCTGCACCGTCGAACGGTGCATTTGAAGCGTGCAAGACGTCACGACGGTGCGAACGGTGTCCCATTTGGCACGAGACGCTAAGAAATGCTAAGCGCGACTCCACCAGGAAGTCCTCCGAAGGTCTCCAAATGTCCCCGCCCTCAGGCTTACGTCACGACTGACTAGAAAAAAAGCTGCGGAGCGCAGCATGTATTGTTTTAATTGTGCGACCTTGCACAGACACAAAATAGTAGATACATACAAGCCCAGATCATTCCCACAAAATTAATCCAATGATTGTTTTGTATGAAGGAGTATGAGGGCCCTATTGAGAATTTTTTCTATATATAGCCTTCCTGACATGTGGAACAATTTTAAGAAGTATGCAATTACATTGGGCACATTTATATGATGCTTTCACACCTTGTCATTCTTTCTTATAACACAGAATCACATTGAAAAGTGCTTTCGTTCCATTCATTGAGTGTATTTTATTAACATGCAAAGGACCAGATGTTACTCGACTGTTAAGCTGCACATTAAAAAACCCATCAGAGTTGTTATTAATACCACAGGCCTGAATATTATGCATATCAAGGCTTGGCACAGGCCTTCAGACAACCTGCAGCTGGGACATACTCTAACAGGTCCTCGTGGAGTGTTTATAAGTTTTTTAAACATAGATTTTCATTTTAGCGTCACTTGAAATAAATTGCAATTGAAAGCTGGAGCTTGTGTTTGTTTTTATTTTACGAAATTCAGGATGAATTTTAAAGTCCAGGAGCAAAAGTACCAAGATAAAACCACGCAGAGCTCATCCCCAACTGTGGATGGTCTCCGGTGGCGCAGTGCGGTAGACATCTAACACCCTAATGTACCTACCAAAATAAAAGCATGACAAACAAATGTTAAATAATGTCTTCAGTCAGAGAGCTGATGATGGATCATAAATCTGAATATTTTTAGACATGAATAAAAACATGCTCCACTCTCGGTTTTACTGATGGAGATGTTTTATTTATCGTCAAGTTTTCCATGACAGGAAAATCTGATATTATGTCAGCCCTACCAGGGGTCTCACCTCCATCGATAAATCCAGCTGCAGGTGCAAGAACAAGTAAATTCATTAGTTAAGATAGGTCAGATTATCCAGGTTTACACAACCTCTAACGTGGATAATAAATAATCTTAATCTTAATCTGTGTTGGCGGACAGTCAAGTCTCTGCAGTGACGGTTGTGTTTTCCCGCAGGAGACGGTGAAGCGCAGTCCCAGCCGAGGATCTCAGGAGTCAGGGCCGTCACCGCCCGGGAATAAGGACAGCGGGCTGGAGGTCATCCTGAGACGCCGGCGTAACAAGGCGGGAGAGGCTGGCTCCGGAGGTAAACACAGAGACGGAGGACGATAAAAGCCTCATGGTCTCATCTTTTTTTCTTTTTGTTTTGAACTAAATCTGTTTTTTATCTTTACAACAACAAAAACTAAAGTGGGTTCATGAACATTTTTGGAGTTTTAATCTACCTCTCAAAGTTGTAAAAATGTGTTGTCAAATCACTGATTCAGTTAAAATTAAGACAATATTCCTTTACAGGAACAAGACTGGCATTTGGAGACCTTCGGAGGACTTCCTGGTGGAGTCGCCAAATGTCCCCGCCCTCAGGCTCGCGTCACGACTGACTTAAAGAAAACCCGCGGAGCTCAGCATTTATTTTTTAAGTGTGCGACCTCGCACAGACACAAAATAGTAGATACATACAAGCACAATTCATCCAATGATTGTTTTGTATGAAGGAGTATGAGGGCCATATTTAGACTGAAGACTTTAAAGAAGATTTAAGTCGTGAATTTATGAGAATATAGTTTTAAAGTTTCCTGTTATTTCAGAGGAGACTTGTTAAAATTAGGACCATGAAGCATTTGAAGGAACTGTGCTTCAGTATAGGTTTCACAAACAAGGAGATACTTCATCCTCTGGCACATCAGCATCACATTGTCATAAGTATAAAGACTTTAAAAAAAGAATATATGAGAAATACGTCTTTTCCACGGGGAAAAAAACTGGTGTACTGGAAGGAAATCGCTGCTTTTGTGGAGGCAGAAATGAATATGCTGAGGATATATCTGTCAATGCAGCCGTAAATATCCGTGAATGACATTGAGCTTTAGTTTATGATATGAATCCATATGCCATAATAAGGTGTTGGTGTCTCTGCAGGTGTAGGCTACCGTCGGTGTCAGAGACGTGGTGCTCGTCGGAGCTCGACTCCCTCTGGATCACAAATGTTGATCATCATCAGTTTGATTGTTTCTTCAGAAACCACAAAATCTCTCTGAATGACCCGCTGATACATCCACAGATTACCCTGCAGATGACCAGCTTCAGTCATTTCCCCCTCCACAAAAGCAGCTTTATGACTTTATTCTCCTAAATTTACAACTTTAAGTGCGCTTATCCTGATGCGGTCTCTGAAATGAGACACAGCCTGTGTTTTTATGAGTAAAGGAGAGGATTTTAGACGGCGCAGGAGGAAAGAGGTTTAAAGCTCCTGGGAGGAACTCTTTGTTTGAGGTGATCTGGCGCCCCCTGTGGACAAAAACCTCTCTGCACATAAAAATAGTTTTTAGTTTTTAATTCAAACACTAAATTATTTTCAAAACTGCAAGTAAATATTTAAACGAACAAAAAGTGTGCATATTTTAAGATTTTCCAAAGTATATTTTTTAATTGTCAGCAATAAAAAGCGCAAAGCAAAAATCTTTGCAAAAAAAATTTGTTAAAAGGTAAAACAAAAAGCTTCAATACATTTATATAAATTTAAACTTATTTTAAAAAATAATTTGTTAAAAGACAAAAACAAACATGAAAAATATTTCTCTAACAGAAAATTATTCACTCTCTGCAAAGAAGAGTTCAGAAAGCCAACGGAACGACCGTACTCCTTGTTTGTGATTGGACAAAACCCAAGTCCTTCAAGTGTTTCCTAGCAACAGTCACACATCACTTCCTTTGTTTAGAGGTGTTACACTTCGACTGAGTCTGAAATGAATCGCTCAATCCCTAAACCCCTAACCCCCATATGGGGTTTCGACGCGATTTCTTCTTCTACGCCAATTTGTCGTCGGCTAGCTCTGCATCAGCTCATTACCGCCACCTTTTGGCTGCGCTCGTTCATCCACTTTTGAGGTAAAATCAGCAATAAAATGAACGTTCATCGCTCATTCAATCGGCGCTGACAACGCTTTCTCCTCCTTCTACTGGCTGAAGATGCAGAGGTATGTAGAGTTTATTTGTGATCTATTTAGCAAAACCGTTAATTAACGTTAAGATGATCGTACACAAGTCACACTACTTGTCTTGTCTTACACTCTAAAGGTCTGAGGCTAATTTTTTATGATGCTGCCAGCCGACGTTTTGTTATAAGCTAGCTAGCTTTGGCGTCCTACCATAGACTGTAAACAGACTTCGCACTGACATAAACTTAACGGAAAAGTTCATTCAAAAACAATAAAATAGATCGATGGAGGCGGTGAGAATACGAACAGGTGAACTTGTTGCAGATAAACGGTTGGTTTCGAAATGAAGACATAATAGTCCGCACCACATGGAAGGAGATTTTGCTTAGTTGTTAAAAAAAGTTGTTAGCTGGACTCTAACAAATGACAAACAGGAAAGTCTCGGCTGGTCGTCCTGTATCGCTGACCACAATCCCAGAAAGCGATAACTGTCAGCGGTCGCCAACGTTTCAGAAATGTCTCTTTCTGAAATTAGCTGCACATGTGTCGTCCTATAAATGTCCAATTACTTAAAAACTTACTTAAAAATCTCGGGGTTTGAGTTGTTCCTGAGGTTGAACTTCCCGCTAAGCTGCTGTCGTGTTAAAACGAGGCGTCGATGAGGATGATGGAGCAGGCGGCGTGTTTGAGACGAGTCCAGGGATCCCGGTAAAAGTCATCTGAGATGTTTGTTTTGATGATCAAATCTCCCGTCAGCGCTCTGGCTGTGATCTGAACTCTTACGTCGGGGTGTTTACACTCGGTCCACACACTGTACTCTGTCTGGACTCAGGCCCAAACCCGGGCTCTGCTGACGTGACGGGACAAATTAGCGTTACCCCCGCTAATATATTCAAAGTGCTGCCGTGCGGCTGCAGAATGCGTTGAGGAGTATTAGAAATGATGGCGTTGACTGTCAGCGATGTTAACCACTCCTGAAAAGGTGACAGCACATTTGGCTGCTATTTGCCGGAGGAGTGAAAAAATACCTGCGAGTTTGACTTTGGGGCATTTTGATCTTTAATTCATACGGGATGTGGAAAATGTGTTTGGGATTTTCACGTCTCAAAAGAGTCATTCTGACGAGAGAAACACACCGCGGAGATCAGCTCACGCCATCGCACACCTCCACACTTTGATGATCTTGTGCTCGCTCTCTCGGTGCCAGGCCGCTCATTGACAAACTATCCTTTCATAGAAGCTGAGGGAGGAACAGCCCCGAACCGCTCCTGTCGGGCGCTTACGCACGCAAACCGTGAATATTTGAGGCGACTCCTGGATGTGTTTTATGCAGACAACATCTGACAGGCCTGAAATGAAGCCAGGGCAGATATGAAAGCAGGCACTGTCTGTCAAAAGCAGGAAATAATCAAGCCGAGCGTCCACCTCAGGGGCCCATCTGAAAGTCATTAACCCAAAACAATGTGCTGCTTCTGCTGTTAGCCTGGAGAAAAATAATAACAGTAATAATACTTAGGAGATTACCCTAATGATTTCAGAGGGTCTGAACAGGACGAGCAGAAACTGTTCAGTGTTTCAGCCGTGATTAAAATAACCACCCCTGATCGCCCATCGCTAATCCTGTTAGCTTTTGTTGGGATGAAAAATATCAAACATGAAAAGAGAGACTCCAAAAAAATCTGAAATGACATCCGTGTGTTGTTGAGTTTTTATTCCTCAAAAGCAGCGAAAACCTCCAGCTCAGTTTAAGCAAATATACAGAGTGAAGCGCGAAAATACGGAAAAACATCAAAGTCACTTTACGGTTAAAGAATTAAAGAGAAATTTCCAAACTGAGAGACTTTCTTCTTGAGTGAACGCAGAACATTTCCGCTCTAAAACATAAAAATAAAGTTCTTTAAAGGAACATTAACAGTCAAGGTCTGAGTTTAAGCTCATTACAGAGAAAATGACACGTAAGGAATCAATATAAAAACTACATTTCCACTAACCTGCGATATTACAAGCCCGAGTATAAAACACATACTTACAGAAAGACAGAGTTCATATTTACAACATCCTGAACTAAGTTTGGACAGAGAACCTAACGCGACGCCGACTGACTCATCTCCACCTGGTGTTAGCATGTGATCTGTGTCTGGATATCAGGTTGAATTAATTTACCCAGCATGCCTTGCGGTGGGCAGCTCAGTCACTTTGGCCTGAACCCATCTGGAGACGGCGTGGTGTAAAATTGATCCGTGGCGTTGACCTTTTGGAGGAAGAACGGCCCGATAGGCTGAAAGGTCACCTGACCGAGAGAGAGAGAGAGGGAGAGAGAGAGAGAGAGAGAGAGAGAGAGAGAGAGAGAGAGAGAGAGAGAGAGAGAGAGAGAGAGAGAGAGAGAGAGAGAGAGAGAGAGAGAGAGAGAGAGAGAGAGAGAGAGAGAGAGAGAGAGATTAACAGACTGTATCACTGATCATGTTTAATATATAAAGAGCTCCAGGCTGATTAACGCCCAGTTTAAAGATACTTTAGTTCTCTTGATTAGTCTAAGATATCAGCTGATTGAAATAAAAACATTTAAACTGAGATGCTAAAGGAAATAAATCATGATGTAAAATAAATACTGATGCTTTTGAATCTACTTAATCCTGGTCAAATCGTGTTGAACCTTCACAGACCTCCAGTGACGCTCAGGCAGCTGCTTTTAGATGATGACGTGTTGTGTCATCAGACTTCTTCTAATGCTGCGTTTCAGTTGTACTTGGAAGTCGGGATTTCCGAGCTTGAAGTCGGAAATTCATCTGGAACGCCCCCCTGAAGTCGGATTTCTGACTCAGAAAGTCAGACAATCCTCTCCAACCCTGACTTAACGACAACGTCATAATCCAAGATGGCAGCGCAGTTCATCGACAGTAAAGAGTAACAGTGAAAGCTCTCGTAATGTTTTATTTATTAACACTTCTGTTTTGTTTTTGTGAAATTGAATAAGTGGTTTATGTTGTTCTGCCCGACGTCTAACTGTGAACACAGTGCTGTGGTGTTTGTACGAGAAAAATACTGCGTTATGTGTTGTTTACAACTGGTATCGCTAACAACAACAAACAACAGCTGACGATTGTAAACAACAGCTAACAACCAGTAACTGTAGACGTCAACCCTAGTTTTCCAACTTGTTAACTGGAACACCAACTCGGGTGTAACACCATCCCCAAGTCCGACTTCTGAGGGAACTGAACGCACCATAATTTGCTGTCGTAGTCTCAGTCTCGAACCTGCTAACGACGTCGACGTTAGCCTCGCTTACAAGAAATACCGAGAAGTCGTCTTGAAGCTCCTGAACCGGTTACATCCGTCAGAGCTCGGTCTCATGACAGTCTTTCACTTTGCTACCAAGCAGCAGCCGCTGGTGTTATAAGCTGATGTTGAAGTGCAAAGACATGCAGTTCCTTGAGTGTCCACTAGAGGCTGGCTCAAGAGCTCCTTAACCCCCATTAGACCCAATAATAAAATGACTTTTTTTTAGTTTGGTTTACGGTGGAGATTTTCACTTTAACTCATCATGAACTCAGTCCGGCTGAGTCCATCGATGTTTCCACAGCAGAACTAAAATCTCAGTGGGCCCGATTCAACGATAACCTGAACCTCTCCGCCGCGACAGTCTCACCTTTTATTTCATGGCGATCATCCAGACCGGCATGATGACCTCTGGGAGTCCCTCCTGCTTCTCCACGGCCAGGATCTCCAGGCCGGCCTTGGCGATGATGACCCTCATGATGTCCAGGTGGCGGCTGATGCTGCTGTCGATGGGGTCCAGTTTACAGCCCTGCCGCGCCATGTTGTCCTTCATGATGATGACCCCGTTTGGACGCAGACTCTTCTTACAGCGGAACAGGAAGTTCATCAGGTCTTTGTCTGTCAGGTGACCTGCAGAGGTAAATCCTGACAGTCAGGTTTATTTACTCTTTGTACTCACAGTTTGACCAGGTAGTTAAAATACGAAAGAGTAACTACTCACACGCCACCCACTGCATCCAGATGACGTCGTATTTGTTCTTCGGGGGGGTGAACTCTTGCAGGTTGTAGCAGTAGTACGTCTCGATGCGGTCGGCGTCGTCGCCCAGGTACTCCTCGTGAGCGTGGAGCAGGAAGTGCTCCATCATGTCCGCCATCTCCATTTTCTCAAACACAGGAAGGAGGACGCCTTTGCTGACCCGGCCGATCCCGCAGCCGCAGTCCAGGGCGCAGTGTGTCCCCGCCTTCCCGGGACCCTGGAGTGGAAATAAGCAGATCGGATCTGTTAGGAGGTGATTTCTAGTTTGTGTTCTCTGAGGTCTTTTGAAGGACCTCTCCTCTGCTCAGGACGGTTCGTACCGCCGTCATGGTAACTATTTGGAGCTGGATTTATGTCCGACAGCAGAAGAAACGTCAGTCTCCCTGCAGCGTGTTATTACCATATCTATAAGTCACGGAGGAGAGTTTTCTTGACTCGCCGTGTTTCCAGATGTCCGTCCTCTGAAGCTCAAAGAAAACCGACCAACCACAGAGCCGAGCTCAGAACCTCGGGGCAGACCAACTCTGAACTTTACCACCGGGGAACCAGGAGTCCCCTCGCTTTAAACCGTCCTGCCGCTCTCTCCTCCTCTCACTTGGTATTCTGACCTCACTCCAACCCCTCGGCATCAGGGGCCCCTGTGTGTGATCGTATGAAGGATGGGGCCCCGAGGAGCCCTGAGCTTGTTACAGGAGGCTTCCTGGTTCTGCTGAATTACTGCCATATTGCTCCGTGAATATGTAGCTCTTTTAAATCTTTTCTTTTTAAACGTGTTTTTAACGGGACGCCAACTTTGAACAGGAGGATGTGAAACTTTTAATTCCTTTAAAGATCGTCACAAAACAAAAAGAAGTAAATAAACAAGATGATAGTTTTAATTTTAGAGATCAAATTCTTAAATTCACAAAAACAAAGACTGATATTTATGACGAAAAAATTAACAGCAAGTTTACAGGAATGAACTCGAAGATGTTCAAGAATAAAAATGGAAATGTTAACTTCAAGAAAAAGAGTAAAAAAAAGTTTTAAAAGGTCACAAGTTAAAGAAAATTAATGTCAACATTATTAGTTTTGTTGAGATGTGGGAATAAGGTGATAAATTTATGAGATTTAAGTCACAAACTTATGAAAATGAAACTGTAAAAACGAGAAAAGTCCCAAATTTAGACGATAAAAGTCGCAAACAGGCATCCAGTCCAAATCCATCCAAAACCTTAAGAGAAAAAGTCATAAATTCACTTTTATCAAATTTCTTCATTCAAGAGATTTAGTTCCTAATTTTACAGGATAAATTTAAGACAATAAATAAAGACAAATAAGAATCTGGGAGAGAAAAGCTGTAAATATAACAGAATAAAATGTTACAGAAAATTTATGAAACTATAGTTGGAAAAAAAACAAGAATCAATCTTTAAAGGTAAAAAGTCCAAATTTATGAGAATAAATCTGTTTAATTATGAGCCTTAAAATTAAGAATATCAGTTGTGGATTTACAATAAGGTTTATCTTTAGAGGAGAAAACAGATAAATCAGGACTGAAGATGATCTGTTTTTGGAGCTGTGATCGAGTTTTCCTCATCGACTCATCCAGACTGACGGTTAAACTCAACAGGTGAGGCACGGTTATAACCACTGCATTGTACTGTAATGTTTTAGTCCGGTTACATTAATCTTGTCTTATAAATCCGTGTTTAATCAGACCTCTTTGTATTTCCATTAACAGCAGAGTTAAAGTATCTCTATAAGCCGCCTCCAGTTTCTTTAAAGCGTCTGTTCTTAGCAGGTTATAATTAGCTCTCTTTAAAAACTGATCCTCTAAATAACCCGGACTCTGGGCCACAGCCATCCCCCGAATTAGCACATACACCCCCCCAAAACATCCTTCAGCACACACTGACACACACTCACATGATCACAGAGGTAAATATCTGCAAACTTAATACGACTGGATATTAGATTAACTAAAATTTACAGAGAGGACTTCATATGATCGACTAAAACAAACAAAACCAGCAGCAGCAGCAGGACCGACCATTTCTGTGTTTTTATTTCTGATGCCTGTAATGGCAGCAAAAATTTACTATTTACACGACTACAGAATGAGACCAACAAAGAGGTGTCCCTTTGTCCACAGGGGGCGCCAAAGTCAACACAAACTGGACATTCCTAATGGGAGCTTTAAACTTAATATTTATTTTCTTTGCTAATTAAACTGAAAACTTCTTCAGGCAGAAGAAAATATTGAAAATATTGATGATTTAATGACTTGAGATAAAGTAAACACTCATCAACAAGTGAATAAAGGAGCACAGGTACTGAGGCAGTACTTTTAATAATAATAATAAGGTGTCAAATCACTTAATATGGTCATTTTACTGCAGCTAACTTTACAGTTTCAGTCTCTGCATTGTTTTTGTGTTTGCAGCCTGTTTGTGCAGTCGTTTCATCTTCAGCAGCATAATTTCTTTACTTGCTTTTTTTCATGATAGAAATTGTTCGGACTGTTGCTGGTTAATTCGCCCTGTCAGTCACTGTATCATGGTGTAATAGAGTGTAGGAAAGTTTATGTTTGGACTGATATAAATGATCATCTGTGCTTATCATTAGGATGCAGACGGGAGAAACTTTCTGCAAAAGAAGGAACGATGCAAATTCAAAAATACCTGCAAAAATAAAAATCAAAGATGGCAGCAGGATGATTTAAAACTAATCAGAAAAGCAGCTGCAATTTAGATTTGTTATACTCAGCGCCTTATTTCCTGTGTCCTTATTTCGCCTGTGCAAAAGTACAACTTTAAACCTTCAGGACTCGAACCTGTGTTCATGTGAAGAAGCTCAAACTTGTTCTCGATGTTTCATAAAGACAGACATTTATCTTCTAACTCCAGTATAATCACATTAAATCTCTGTTTTACAAACTCACTGGCATCAGTTGGCCCAGCTCGCTCTGTTTGTGGCGTTTATGGGTCTGGCATCATCCGTGTGCCACTTTTAGTAGCTGCACCTCCCTCATTAGAAGGAGGAGAGATTCTTTTTAAAGTCCGGATGATGAATTCTTCACTCAGAATAGATCCTGACATGTTTAAATAGAGAGAACTGCTGCAGTGTAAATGGATCTATTAGTGGACGGAGGTTCGAGGCCTGCTGCAGCGTCTTAAATGTCACTCAGATCTGTTTGAAGCCTTAAGAAGAGAGAAATGTGAGTTTGTTTCATGACTCACCACAAACCTCTTCAGGAACTGCCGGGAACCTTCCAGATCGACGTTGGATATCTCCATGAAATCTCCCATCATGCCCTCCTCTGAGGCGGGGACGTCCTCGTAGAACTGCTGGGCTCTGTAGTAGAACTGCTTCTCACCTTTGATGTACTCACAGGTGACAGGAAACAGCTTCACTGTACGGACAGGTGAGCAGGAAGAGGGGGAGGAGTCAGGGTCAGTCAGGAAGCATTTGGTCATGAGTAAACATCAAGAATCATGGATGGAGGTGGTCAGTGCTGGACTTGGTTACATCTGCAGACACCTCCTCACCATCTTTGTTAGTCTGGTTTTTACCTAGGCCCACATAGGGCGGGGTGATGAACCGAAAATTTACTGATACTGAAGTAACAAAGAGGGAAAGACAGGTGAGGAGGTGGAGGACGGTTCAAAAGTTGGAGCAGCTGAAGTAGACGAAGTTAATGTGGGAGGGGGTGAGCAGCTTGTGGAGGAGTTATCGTCCATTTATCGTTATCGAGGTGAACTGATCAATATATCGTGGTATTGATTAGAGGTCATATCGCCCAGCCCTAGGCCCACATGCAGAACTTCCCCGGTCTGAACTCTGCATCTTTGCAAAAACACTGAATTATTCATAAAGAGCAAAAATTGTTGAACCTTAGAGATGGTATAAAACTTGAGGCGTGACCGTAAATCACAAACTGACTGTTTATGCTTATGGTCTGTTTCAAGGCTCCCCTTTCTGACGGTTTCAAGGTCCATCTTTTCTGTTATTAAACTCCAGAGATGCTGGTGATAAACACAAAGGTGATGTTGCTACTACATGTACTTGGCTTGTGCACACAGCCTCAAGTGGACACTCATGGAACTGCAGCTTTTGCACTTCCACAACTTCAACAGCTGATCTCAAGAGTTCTATTTTTTCTGGACGCCGGAGCATGGCGGATAAATTCAGCACAGATTAACCCGTGCTGGAAAGGAAGTCGGGCACAGACACAAAATAAAACATCCGGCTTCTTTTCAAAATAAAACACTCCGTGTTTCAGGAGGATCGTATTTCACACCATGCAAACGGGCGGAGACGAACAAGTGAAAGGTTTTTAGACGTCATTTCACCCCGATGACACCATGGATGAGGAGATGCTGATTCTAGAAGTCTAGAAGTAGATTTCCTCCTCTGGAAGGACACAATCTACTGCTTATATGTCTATGTGTCTGTCTTTAGAGAGACAACTGGTTACCACACTGCTGTCCCAAATCCATCAAGAAACTTGACTCACAAATGGATCCAGTGAGAATTGGCGGACGGTGAAAATCGCCGCCGTTTCGTAGCAGAGCTGTTCTGAATGGGGTGGAAATTGGGGGTTAGCTTCATTTTCCAACTCAAGTGGTTTCCACTTTGTTTAAAATTTGCACCACAGCAATCATTTAGTGATTTTGGTTTTAGGTAAAAAAACAGGCAGATAATTAAACTGGACGGGTGAGTAAGAAGAGGAGGAAGACTGTCTGTCTTTAAGATCATCTCTAAGGAGGAGCAGAGAGATAATTTGATTACCAGAAGACTAAAAATAAAGCCGAGTCGTGCTTCTCTTACACTCGGCTCAGCTGTTATGTGACATAAGATCACACACAGGCAGATTCATCTCCAACAAGCTTTTGAGGCTTTCACCAACGTGGAAACTGTAATCCCAGTCCTCAGCCGGGAACACTTCAGTTATCAGTCTGGGTTTAGATGAGTGGTTGAACTCCTCTGTCGTTCTTTTACACACTGATGCCGATGACATACTGTGGCATTAACAAACTGAACACCAGGCTTCCTAAACTCTCCCGTCCTCCTCCTGCCTCCGCTCTGCTGAGCTGAAATAAATCCCGCAGAATGAACGCGACATATCCGACGGCTTACATGACACGTTCCCCTGCCTGGAGGGGTCATCGGGGAATGTCTGTCCACTTGTCAAGGATGTCCAGCAGCAGAATTAATGACACCGAAGAGAAATTTAAAGAGGGCGGATTTATTTCCAGCTGGACTCTGTCCTTGGTCGGGAGGAACTTCAAGATGAGGCAGAGAGCCAAGAAGGAGAGCGAATCCATCAGCACCTGGAAGTCACGCCGAAAACAAGGTGTAGAAACAAGCGAAACATGACGAGACTCTCCTGGCAGGTGCCCACGCTCCAGGGTTCGGACCTGGCAGAGACGGCAGCTTTAGGTCGCGTGAAGGGGCGGACGACGGCGTGACGATGAAGACGACTGCCAAGAAAGTGTTGGTCCGACGCCGCCATGCTCTTGATGTCACACCTTTAGAGTGAAGCAGCTCATTAGAGGTGAGAGGCCTGGCTGACCTTTGACTTTCAAAGAAACCGCACAAGTCTATTAAACTGGTCGATGCAGGATCAGAAGATTTCGGTTAGTGAAACTCCTCCATACAGTAAAAAGTTTTTATTTTTGAAGCGTCCTCCTCCTCCGTCGTCGTCGACTATATGAAGACATAAAAAGAGAAATACCGTCGTGTTCAGACTGTTTCAGGCTGTCAGAGCTGTTGGTAAATAATCCGACCGCAGCCCTCTCTCTGTCATGTAAGCACTGACTGACATGAGTAAGAGCCTGAATGCTCGGCGTGCCTTTCCATTAATGGGCCTCATATCGAGTTAGTGGTTAGAAAATAAGCCGTCTCAGAGTCCAGAATGGCCAACAGGTCAGGATCTCCTGTTTCTGCAGGTTTGGGTCTCAGGTATGGATGTGAGTGCAGCCTGACGGGGATTATGTAAGTCTGGAGTTCATGCCTTTATGTTCTGAAGTGAAGATTTCAAAGACTGTCTGCTTCTTCGGAGTACTGATTTGGAAGAATTAGGAGTGTCTACGTCGCAGATTGATGACTGGTTTTCATGCTGGACGTGGTCATAAGACTGTTTTCTGCAGAGGAGTGAGGTATCTTACATCCTTACTGTCTTTGCTAAAGAACAGGGCTGCCGACTCAGCAAACAGGAAGTAACAGGTAAACAAAACACGGCCAAACAAATGACTGAGGAGGACAGAGAGAGAGAGAGACGGGAAAAACAGCTGCTAGGCAACAACAGATACACAAAACCATGAAACATGCCAACAACATCGTTTGGCCAAATCTATGAAGTCTGAGAGAGTTTGACTCGACGCTGCAAGGACTAAACAAAAATGTGAATGTGGAACAGAAACTCTCTTCACGGCTGATGAAGGATGTCAAACAGTTAATGTCCGCTCCAAAGGATGATCCCTCTTAGTCTAAAAACCAGAACCAGGTCGTTTCTGACGCTCTGATGACCAACAAGTCTAAACCAACTAAAGTTAGTTAGTCTCCACCTGAGGAAGGTGGAGACTATTCTCAAGAACATGGATCACCCACTTCACAACACCTTGATGGACCAAAGGGCCAATGGTGGTGGACGGCTCCTCTCTCTTCACTGCAGGACAGAAAGATTCAGAAGATCTTTTGTACCATCAGACTTTATAACTCTTGTGTAAATAGTAGAAAACTTTTAGAGACATACTATGTGAGACAACAGACAATTGAATTTTCCTTCAGGGATTAATAAAGTTCTTCTTATCTTATCTGACAAGACCACCGAGTCCCGAGAGGCAAAATGACTCGGATGTTACTTAGCTGCACCTGTTGACAACACCTTAGAGATGAAGTAGAACCAGGACGGTTCTGACCGAGGCTCATTTATTCTTCATGTTCACGGTTTCTGGAAATACGGTCAGAGCGACCCGGTCCGTTTAAGAAGAAGAAGAAATACTTCATTGATCCTGATTTGATCTGAATCTGGAACATCATGTTATCTTCCTGTAACTGACTCTCAAATTTCAATCTTACTTTTCAAAACAGTTTCAGGCTGATGGAGCAGCTACCTGAGAACACTGAGGCTCATACATGACTGCTAATAGCTCATCAGATTATGTTGATATGTTAACATGTGCAGATAGAACATATGGACCACTTACAGTCCACATATCAAATGTATTTAGCATGTCTGTATGCAGCCGAAAATACCTCTCTATCTGAAGTCTGTTTACATTTGCCAACAGCAAAGTCCAAATACGGTTAAAGCAGCAAAGCTTAGATCTATGCATCTACATCTATACAGGGATTTATTTAAATGCATTCTGCAAATTTGTGCTTGCAAACATAAACTACAGTTTATATTTTTGTTATTTAAAGTAAAAGTCAGCATGTAAAGTGGATGCTAAATAAGATTGGGCAGAAAAAAAGCTCACAAAGCGTAAAAAACGTCAGTATAGATTCAAGTTATGCAAAAAGACGAATAGAAAGTCACATATCTAATGTGTTAAATTGTCATCTCAGCCTTTTTCTTACTTTTGCACGTTTTTACAGCAAAGCTTCTTTTCATACGAATACTCCAACACTCCTAAAATGCCGTTATGACCACATTAGTGAAGCATTCATGATGCTAATACATGCACAGATACAAAGTGCCTTTCATGTAAATATGTAGATTAATTTATTACCATTTGAAAGGTTTATATGCAACATGCAAGCACATGTTTTTGGATATGATGACAAGGACAATCATAAATCACACAGGGTGTAGACAGAGGAGCACACAACTGCACATGACATTAGTATCTATATTGGCATCAGTATAGATAGTTGATCTTTGATATTTTATAGATATATGATCATGTAAGCGGGTCTTAATTGGGTTCTGGCCACACCACTGACTTTCTGCACAACCTAAGACCCCAAATTATTATTCAGAATTATAATTATAATTCAGGTTTTTGCTCTTACAGTCACACTTTACTTTTTAAAAGCGTGTTTCCGTCCTTTTAACAGTCATTTGTTTTCTGTTTTTTTTTTACCATAACAGATAATCAATCATCACTTTAAACAGAGCTGTGATTTTGACTTTAACTGAGGCATTGTTGGGGGGATTTTCAGGGCAGACTTTTCCTATCAAACACACGCCTTTGTGACTTTAATCAGCTGATAAGTTGATGTTTGCTGAGCTGCATGTTCTAAACTCTCAGTTGTTTCTTATCAGTGAAATTAAACTCAAACAAAAACACGCAGAAACCCTCAGCATGCTTCTCCAACAATAACAGGGTCAAAGTTAAAGATCTTGACCTCCCCACTGTTTGACTGGTGTGAGGTTGCAGCTTTGTGTCGCCCTGCTTCTTACCCAGAGGGATCTTCTCCACCAGGTACAGGTAGCTGGCGAAGAACTCGCTCCTCACCGTGTGGTGCAGGTGGAAGGACATGCTGTGGCGGCACATGGTGTCGTCGGTATTCTTCCAGCGATCCCTCAGCGCCTGGTGAGCTGCCTTGTACTCAAAGGTGGGTGATGTTCGGCCGCTCTCCTCTTCGTCTTGTATCTCCATTTTGGATTTAAGGGGATTTGTAACGCCTTACCTAGCGTCGCTGTTATCCTGAAGGTGTTTGAAGGAGCAGGAGTAGAGCAGAGTAACGCTCACCGGCCCCCGTTTGGCACACTGTTTCTGTAGCAGCTGCTAAATCTGTCCAGCTGAGAGTCCAACACGTCGCTGTCAGCCTCCAACTGATCGTCTAGGATCACCTGCTAGGGGCTCTGACTCTGGGAGAGGGAGGGGTGAGGAGGGGGACGCCTGCTGTCTCAGGAGGAACAGAAGCGGCTGAACTGCAGGCTGTGAATTCCTGCAGAACATGAGAGTCCATACGTCCTTGTTGCTATATAGTGTGCTCCTAAAATAGTCACGTCTTCTCCTGTTTGTATACATGATTCCTGTTTGGTTCTGGCACAGGTCCGCTGACTTTACAGAGTTACAATCCAGGCTAAAAGTCACTTTATTCTGAATCAGCGTGTGCTTGTTTACTTCCGACAAGAAGAAGACGGCAGCGCTCCAAACATGAGTTCACAAAGATGCTAAAAAAGACAAAAAGTTAAATTTCAAGTTTAAAAAGAAAGTTTCTTGAGTCGAGACAAAGTAGTCTTGGAGAAAGACAAACAAATGCCAAGTGAAGGAGAAGAAATCTCCAGTACAGATCAAAAAGTCCCAAGTCTGTGGGTCTCAATTTAAGCCCAATAAACATCATCAAGTCTTAAACCAAGACCTTAAGTTGCAAGTCCAGATCCAGTCTCGAGAAAAGTGGGACGATGTTCAACTCCCAGCAAATAAATCCAAAGTCAGGAAAAACAAGTTTCAAATCCAGGTCACCAAGTTACAAGTTAAAGCCTGAGTCTCAACTTAAGTCTAATTTCAAGATCAAGAAGTCTCAAGTTAAGGCAAGTGAAACCAAGTCAAAACAAACAAGTCCCAAATCAGGGTCAAGTTAAGAAAACAAGTCCAGGTCACCAAGTTAAGGTTACATTATCTACACCCACGACAAACTAGTTCCAATTTGACTTTACACCATTCAGCCCTAAGTCAAGATTACAATTCCCAAGTTCAACAAGTCCTGAGCTAAGTCAAGACCAAAAGTACGATGTTTTCAAACATTTCCAAAGTTTAGCTCAATAACTCACAAGTTAAAAACCACAGGTCCAGTTACAAGTTCCACTTTCAAGCTTCCATCAGAAACCAGTAAGTTCCAAGTTAAATCAACTTTGAAGTCATCGTAGACCGTCAACTCAGTCAACAAGTCCTAAGATAAGACCAACGAGTTCTTGATAAAAGGGTCAACAAGTGCAACTAAAGGTTGACGATCAAAAACCAAGGACAACAAATTCAAGTCAAGACTGACCGTTCTCTGGAGAAGGCATTCCCCAAGTCAATTTCCAGGTCAAAACAAACAACTATCAAGTCCCGGTAGGTTTCCAAGTCAAGGCTGCATAGTCTGTAATTAGGTCAACTTTAACAAGTTCCAAGTCAAGACAAAAACCCATCAAGTCGTTCAAAAACAACAGGTCCAGTTTTGGGTCTCGACTGAATTTCAGGTCAAAGCTGATGAGCTCCAAGTTGAGGTACCTCCCCATTCAAGTCCTAACTCCTAGTCAACAAGTGCATGGTTAAAACAGGAAGTTCCAAGCAGACTGGTCCTAAAAGCTCAGGAATCTCTACCGGAGCCCATATTTAAATTTCCAGTTTACAGCTAAATTAAACATGTTTGCAGCCCCAGTTCAAAAACATTTAGATCTCTGCACCTCATTTCTACGACATCTTGAAAACATCTCTGCAGGGAACATTATGTAATGCCACTGAGACTACATCTGTTTTTTTCACAGAGACTTTGCGTGACCCAATTTTTCTGCAATAGAAAATAAACTGAAATGCATTAATGCTCCTTCACGGATAAATTCAGTTTGGACTTTCTCTCATTTTTGCAAATCTGCAGAGAAACTTCTCCAGAGTGCCCCAGTTATGTCATCTCTGCACATCTTAGCAGCTATTTGTGTCTCTCATACTGACCTCTTTGGCCTTTGACCTCAGGATGAGCTACAAACATCTTAGAATTGAAAAGGCTGATAATTTGACTTAGCGTGTGAATTAAAAGCTTTAGATTATTTGTAGAGTAGAGAAAGAGCAGATCCCAGTACTGCTGAACAAAAACTCCCTCCACACGTGATCTTGCAGCACTGGTCATTACTCTTTCAGTCACCGGGGAATACTGTATATTTTTAACCCCTAACATAAATAATGCTCTGATGTGCCCATCACGAGCCAAAGGCTAAATTTAGCCTGGTGACATCAGCTTTCAGAGGCCTGACTGGTGCTGAGACGTGCAAATATCTTCTACCATGTTGCAGTATTGATTACGCCTGCTGTGCCCACTTACATGGCTTCTGAATTCCAGATGAGAAGTTTAAAGGTAACGATTTTGTCTAGTTTCAGTGAGCAAGTTTAAAAAGTTAGATGATGTTTTTTAACATTTGCTTGTTTGACATTCTGATATTTGTATATTACTGGACGTAATTTTGTTCTATTGCATTTGAAAACAAAATTATTGTGTCTGTGAAATGAAACTTTAAGAACTAAACTATGGCTCAGATTATAAATAGTTAAAAAAAAAACCTGTTTTTAAAGGTGTACATTTGACATTTTAATTTAGATAATACACAAAAATAATAAAAAGGAAATCGGTATACAGCTAGTTTTAGTTTGCATAATCTGCGGTTAAAGAGCCCCATGTCCACGGGTCCTTTTTTACCTTAGCTCAGCTTATGTTCAGAGTTATCTAATCCTGACTTACGCTGAAGACCTCTGTGACCTCCAGGTCATCCATCATATCTACAGAAAGATGCCTTTCTAAAAGAAGAAGAAGTGTTTGCTCAAATTTCCTCCTTCAAAAACAACAAAAGAATTTCTAAACTTAACAGATATTTATCCTTTTACACTAAGTTAAAGTATGTATTTTCAGCAAAGTGCATTTTAAGCTATAGTGTTAAAAGTGTGAATGGTGGTGCAGCAAAGTTGATCCCTTAAGTGTACATGTTTTGTACTAGTATTACAGCATTCGTGTAGATTTTGCATTTAACACCATGCTATGTGAATAAATGTGTGTTGTAAACTCACTACAGAGTGCCTTTGGAGTTTTAATGTGTCTTTAATTGAGTGTTGGGACAATTGTGGGCTAGTGATGCACATATCTGTCAGTAATAATATAAAAATTCAACATGTTTACCTCATGATCCAAAACATGCAACAGGAGATTTCATATTTTCCTCAGTAAATAAAGACCTGGATCAAACTTCATGCTTCACTCTGCAGGTCACTTTTTTTTGCTTAGAGGTACCCAGCTCAGGAGAAAAGCCAGTTTGAAGAGTCCAAAGATAAAACCTGAGGGTTAGAGAGATTATAAGAAGTGTGCAAACATAAAGAAGCTTAATTCTGCTAGCACATTTTTCTGCTATTTTTCAGACTTCTTCTTTTTGCCACACACTAAATAGTTTTGCCTTGTTCGGCCCTAAACAGGTTAGTAAAATGAAAACGTTTTATACAAGGGAATATAGTATACATGTTTTATTTTGATATGCAGACAGAAGGGGGAGATTTTTACTAGAACACAAAGATTTAAGAGGTATCATGTCAAAATAAACAGACAACACTTCAAATGAGCTAAAGAAATGAGTCAAAGTTAAAAAGATGTTTGGTGTCTAGTACTATGTCTGTGACCCTATATGTCCTGTTGATGAAGTTAGGTGCTGTTCTGAGCATTATTTGTGGCTATAGAGTGGCGTTTTGGTTGAGCGTATGTCTCTCTGTATTGCTATCCTGCGGTTGTTACTAAAGTTGGAATAACTAGAGAAGCAAGTGGTCGACAACATTCATCTCTGGAGGGGGGGTCTAACTCGGTGGTACGGTGTGTTTGACCCTAAATTAATTTTACGCCTAAGCATCCCTTAGGGTTTGTGGAAAGTTAGCAAAGCAGTCTGTCGAAAATCCAATAACAGACCTTTAATTTATATTTAGGTTCTTTTCTAGAGCAAAGAAGTTTAGATGATTTTTACCTCTAGCTATAGAGAGTAAATAACATCAAAAATACTCTTTAATTTCGGTTTTCTTGTCAAACATGTACCTCAATCAGGTACGCTCCTCTGTTGTCTTCTTCCCGTCCTCCGTGGCTGCAGATGGCAGCAGCGCGAGCTCGCCTCGAGTTGCATGCTGGGAGTTGTGTCGTCTCCCTGGCAACAAGCTGAGGAGAACAGTAACATCCGCCCGGTCCATGTCATCATCAGAAGAAGAAAGAAGAACATATTTTTGGCTGTTTTTTTCTCTCGTTAAAAATGGACAATCTTGGATCAGGAAGAGACGCTCGGTTTCTGAAGAGGTAACGGCTGCTAACGTTAGCAGGGTTAGCTTCGTTAGCCAACAGTCAGGGGAGAGGAGGCAGGATGCTAAGCGGTTCATTCAAATCAATACAGGACATTTAAATCTCTTTAATCAGTTATTTTTTAACTAATGACCGAGATGTTATGTTTTTATCGAATAAACCCACAGCTCTGTGTCGATAGAAGCCTTCAAAGTTATATTTTTGACTGTTTTTTTAATCGTAAGAAATGGACAATCTTGGATCTGGAAGAGACGCTCGGTATCTGAAGAGGTAACGGCTGCTAACGGCTGCTAACGTTAGCAGGGTTAGCTTCGTTAGCCAACAGTCAGGGGAGAGGAGGCAGGATGCTAAGCGGTTCATTCAAATCAATACAGGACATTTAAATCTCTTTAATCAGTTATTTTTTAACTAATGACCGAGATGTTATGTTTTTATCGAATAAACCCACAGCTCTGTGTCGATAGAAGCCTTCAAAGTTATATTTTTGACTGTTTTTTTAATCGTAAGAAATGGACAATCTTGGATCTGGAAGAGACGCTCGGTATCTGAAGAGGTAACGGCTGCTAACGGCTGCTAACGTTAGCAGGGTTAGCTTCGTTAGCCAACAGTCAGGGGAGAGGAGGCAGGATGCTAAGCGGTTCATTCAAATCAATACAGGACATTTAAATCTCTTTAATCAGTTATTTTTTAACTAATGACTGAGATGTTATGTTTTTATCGAATAAACCCACAGCTCTGTGTCGATAGAAGCCTTCAAAGTTATATTTTTGACTGTTTTCCCGACTGTTAAAGCTCATTTCCTTCACAGTAATAAACATCCTGTAAGATTAGATCAATCTGAACAAATACATCTGAAAATAATTTTTAAATATGTATTTTATCGACGTTTTTCAGTATTAAATCATCGAAAAATGCCTCAACAGGACTGCCATGGATAAATAATAAATGAATATCCTGATATGGAAAGACAAGATCATGATTTAACAGGATATTCCAGGAGTTTATCAAGATAATATACAAGTCTCTTAAATAAATGACTCAGTATCTTGTAGTATTCACTAATTTTATTAATTTGTGAAGAGAAAAAGACCAAAATAAGACAGAAATCATCGTCTACATGCAGTTTACGTCGGTATTTTCTCATTATTTGGATGAGAATTTTTTTCTTATGATATTGACTTATAACAGGAGCAAGTATCACTGTATAATATCTTAGTGCGGCAGATTAAAAGAGAAACAGTCGATTTTAATAACCACACAACTTTAAATTACTAATAAATGACAAAATATGAATCAGAATTACAAAACAATGAAGTAGTAAGTTAAAAATAGTGTCTCCCGATAAAAACCAAAACATCAAAATAATTAACTAATATTTCTGTGTAAATTTTTTGGTCTTAAAGTGACTGAAAATAATCCAAATCATGGCTGAGTATCTCCAAATATTGCCTTTGTATCTCAAATCGATAACTTTCTCCTGCAAATTTACTAGAACCTCAAAGTAATGGTTAATTATTCTTAAAAATGCCTTATGTGTCGAGTGATTCTGGAATATTTTCCATAAAATGACTGAATTATCTCAGAAATATCCTTTTGTGTTTGGAGACAATAACCTCAAGTATTAGATTTAACATCAGTGATAAGAAAAAAGACTTGAAATGAAATGATTACCTCCTCTGTAAAATCAGACTCAGTCTGCTGCCCTGTAGAGAAATAATGACCAAGATAATAAGCTGCAATACGAAAAGCTTTCTCAATATTCAAAGCTGACAACTAAATATATTTACTATCACAGTTTTATTTCAGTGAACTGACAGGAGTGAATTCTGACTCTGAGGTCTTCTACCTTTAGTCTATAAACTGTGTGTTTCTGCTAAAAGGCAGGGTTAAACAAAAGGAAAAAAGGACCCAAAATTCAGACTCAAAAATGATTTATTAAATAAATTACTAAATGAGAAAAAAAAACTTACTTCAACAGAAAATGTCCAACTGAAAAATCCAAGGCCAACAGGAGAAGAATCCAAAGAAACAAAAGAAAAAAACAAAAAACACTGGAGGAGAACAACGACATAAACCGACACCGACATACAATGAACCAAACAGAGAAAGAGGAAAAGACAGGGACTATATATAAACTCAGGGAAACGAGCAACGAGAGGCAGGTGAGACACTAAGACACAGGTGCAGACAATTACTGAGGAGGGAAGTAAAACAAGACTAGACACACAAGGATGGACTCCTACAAAATAAAACAGGAAACACTTAAACTAATCGAAAGAATAAAACACAGAACAGGAGGGAAAAGGGGGTCAAACACCAACTGAAAACTCAAAAAACAGGAACAGAGGCGACAAAATACACAGAGAATACAGCGAAACAACAAAACCTGGAAAAACTAAATGACCAAGAACCAATCATGACAGTTTTATTAGTAAAGAGCGTGAACATGTTCTGACTCCTGTTTGTTTTGATTCTGTCTGACCCTCAGGAGAGTGAAGGACTGTACTCTTGATGTCCATCCCACTGAGAAAGCCCTCGTCGTTCAATACAAGGTGGAGGCAACCATCATAGGAGAGTTTGGGGTCCCGATGGTCGGAGAACGCAAAGAGTGTCAGAAAATGTGAGGATTACCTTTCAATCAATTCGACATTAATGAAGAGTACATACATATGACATCCTTTAAATTCTCTCACCTGCAGCTGCAGAAAGGTCAGTAACTTCTGCTGTGTAATTCTGGGAGGTCACACATACCGAACCAGAGGCTGTTCCTCAACAGTTCTAGTTTTTCCCCCATAACAGAAATGAATCATAAAAAGATAAACCTTTAGATCATCTGAAAAGTGCTTTGTGTTTCATAAGATGGTGGAAGAATAAAAACGGCTTTTCCTGTTTTTTCAGATTTGTAACGTCACATCACTCTCTGCACGACTACCAGACTCTGTAAACACTAGGTTTACTGTTCTGCTGCAGCCTCAGACATTTTATTATCTGGTATTATTTTGCAAATTTGCTGTTAGAAATGGTAACCCCTGAACAAAAGGCACCCTGGATGCCCGTCTACTTTTGCAAAAGGGGCTCTTTGGATGCTTTATTTCCAATGATATCCAATGATAATTTATAAAAATAGTCTACGACAGATGTATAAACTGTAAACAAAGTGCTCTCAAGGTGCATTTCTAAGGATTATAATGTAAATAAGATGCAGTGTGGAGCCCATGTGGTGAATAAAATGTAAACAGAGAGCCCACTTAATGCCCTTCTGGTATATAAAGTGACCTCTGGATGCTTGCCTGGTTGTTTAAATGCAATAATGGGCCCTTCTGGTGTTTTCCCCTGATTATATACAATGTTGGGTTGTCACACAGAGCATACAGCCTGTGCCATCATTTTAAGTCAGTGTTAACAGTTTCTCTGTACCGTCCAAATGCTGGCACAGTAACACAGATGTGTCACTTGTTGAATCTAAAACTCCTGCCCTCACTTTGTCTTTTAAAAACTGCACGTTTCCAACTTCGGTCTTCCTCTGTGCTTCTTCCAGCATCCGCCTGAAGAACCTGAACGCCCACACAGACACGTCCTCTTTGGCCCGGAAGGTGGTGGAGGAATGCAGCCTGATTCACCCGTCCAAACTCAGCGAGGTGGAGCATCTGCTCTTCTATCTGCAGAAGCGTAAACAGCCCAATGGTATCCAAGTTTCTTTGTTTTTTTTTACTTCTCTAACAGCGTTAATGAAGCGTCTGTTATTATGTTATGAGTGACGTTTTTGTAAATCTGCTTTTTCACAGACAACCATGAGAGGAAATGCATCACACCTCGAGACTTCACACCTTACGCAGGCGTGGAGGTAAGACCTTCGAGATGAGATGATCGTATCCACACACAGAGATTCTGTGAAGCCGGGCTAACGTTGCTTTGTTCCCCTGCAGCTGGACGAGGTGGCGAGCATCAACAACTTAGATGAGTACATGGAGCTGCTGTACGAGGACATCCAGGAGAAGATCAGAGGAGCAACACTCATCTTCCAGCTGGCCCAAAACCCTGATAACCTGGTGGAGCTCATGCAGGACGGTACCTTCAATAATGAGTTCGTCTTCATTAGAGAGTGAACAATATTCACTTTATTACCCAGCATGCAGGAGCTCGGTGGGAAACAGACTACATGTTGATTTTTCAGAAATGAATCTGCAGGTGTTTCATGAATCACATGATCGTTTCATGGCTTCTGGTTCAACATAATGCAGACTTGTCATATAGCTCACTGGCGTCTGTCTCTGTAATTTTCCACACAGATTCAGAAACGTCCACATCATGGCGTGTTTAACCAGATTAATGGTGGAGATCAGATGACCTTAACTCGGGTTCGATGTAAATCTGTCTGATGAGGATGGAGAGTTAGAGGCAGAGATATTTCTCGTCACAAACCGACTCTGTAAACGAAGTTTCTCCTCATTTTTACTCTCACAAACTCCTTTTTTTGAGCCTTGAGGACGTATCCACTCTCCTCTGCAGCAGCCAGAGTCTGCTCAGGTAGCCAAACATGGAGCAGGGAATGTGAGGAGCGTTCCTGATCTTTATTTGGCCGTGCGCTGACTGTTGGTATGAAAGCTATCCCCCTGTGACAAATGAAAAGAGAGGACGACCTTGAGACGGGGCTGACAGCTCTGGAAAGGTCAGGGATGAGCTTTCATACTCACTTATTCAGAACGGGTTTTAATTTTTCTGGATCCGATCGCTGAAGTTCAAAAGTGCAGAGCTCCGCCGTGTTCCAAAATCTCAGAATCAGACCGTACTTGGATGAAACGTGAGTTTCTGCTTTTTTTCGTTTTCTTGAATCTGTTGAGTTTGATCGGCTCGTCCGCTCGCCTTTTCAAAGTAAACAGCTCAGCTTAGTTTCTGCTCTCCTTCGTGACAGCCGGGCGGTTTCTCCCACAACAGCACGGAGCCGTCATCCTCCGCAGCCGCGCTCTGATGGCACGGCTCCATTTGTATCTGTCATACCGCGTCCTCAGCTCGCTCCGTCTGCCGCGTCACATCAGCGGCTGCGCCGTTGATAAGAGCCGAATGTTCGTGTGAACCTGGAGGCCTGGGGTCGCTCAGGAAAGAGGAGAGGAACCCTGGGACACACGTCTTTACGTTGAGAAGCACCCATGGCTCAAAATCCTCAGGAGCCCCCGACCTCATCGCATTCCCCCACGTTTCTCCAAATTAACCTTCAGCAGAACTTCCTCCGCTCCTCCGTCTCACTCTGATTGAAGTCCAAACACACGTGTTCTGCTCCAAGTCTTCATTTCTCTATTCCCTCTTCTTCTGCCCTACCTCCTGTTTCTGACCTTTCCTTCATCTGCTGTGTCTGTGTCTCAGAGGGGGTTCTTGGGGCCCTGGCTCGAGTCTTGAGAGAGGACTGGAAGCAGAGTGCGGACCTGGCTACGACCATCACCTACATCTTCTTCTGCTTCTCCAGGTAAGCGGACTAACAGAGGTCCGAACAGAGCAGAGAGAGTCTGCCTGTTTTCATCAGGTTCCTTCAGACCTTCTTAAGATTTACATGTAGAAAAAGGTGTTTAAGGCTGCAGGAGGCGACACGCTGTGAACTCGACTGTGAAGGAGTGACTGAGACAGACGGGGGGATTTTAAAAGTGTTTGTTATTTTGTTAAATTGTCTAATTAACAAAAAGCTAAAAAAAAACAAACTGGACCAGAGTAAGACCAGGTCCATGGTGCTCAAAGGGATATTCTGGCGTAAAATTAATTTAGTGTCAAACCCACCATAACACCGAGTTAGACCCCCCCTCCAGAGATGAATGTTGTCGACCGCTTGCTTCTCTAGTTATACCAACTTTAGTAACGACCGCAGGATAGAAATACGGAGAGCCACGCCCCCAACCAAAACGCCACTCTATAGCCACAAATAATGCTCAGAACAGCACCTAACTTCATCAACAGGACATATAGGGTCACAGACATAGTACTAGACACCAAACATCTTTTTAACTTTGACTCATTTCTTTAGCAAAGAGACTAAACACAACTCACCTACTCTCTTCCAGCAGCTGCTTGTTTGTAGTGAGACCTCAGGCCAGTCCATTACGGACTACAGCGGGGTGCCGCAGCTCAAGGAAGAACATTTATGATAATTTCTTCATGAAAATACAATCAGACCGAGACGCTAAGACAGAAGAACTACCGCGTCTGCAAAATGATCAATATGATGATTATTACTTTAAGGAAATGATGAAGAAATGATCATAAATGTTCTTCCTTGAGCTGCGACACCCCGCTGTAGTCTGTAATGGACTGGCCTGAGGTCTCACTACAAACAAGCGTCTGCTGGAAGAGAGTAGGTGAGTCGCGGTCGACAACATTCATCTCTGGAGAGGGTGTCTAACTCGGTGTTACGGTGTGTTTGACCCTAAATTAATTTTACGCCGGATTATCCCTTTAAGGCTGCAGGAGGCGTCATGCTGTGAACTCGGCTGTGAGGGAGTGACTGAGACGGATGGAGGGATTGTAAAAGTGGATGTTATTTTGTTTAATTATCTAATTAACAAAAAGCTAAAAGAACAAACTGGACCAGAGTTAGACACGGTCCACAGTGCATCACTCACCTTTGACCTTCTAGCACACACACACACACACACACACTCTCAGATCTGTGAGGACGTTTGCTCAGCCTCTTTGATTGTCCCTCCTCCCTCCTCTCTACCTCTGGCAGCAGACCGATCTCTCTCTCTCTCTCTCTCTCTCTCTCTCTCTCTCCCTCTCTCTCTCTCTCTCTCTCTCTCTCTCTCTCTCTCTCTCTCTCTCTCTCTCTCTCTCTCTCTCTCTCTCTCTCTCTCTCTCTCTCTCTCTCTCTCTCTCCCTCTCTCTCTCTCTCTCTCTCTCTCGTCCGCAGAGTTAGGAAACACTAAAATTAGCTGTGGCTACAATAATACATAAACGTCTGTCAGAGCTGATCTGGGCTGCGAGCGTCTGAAAACCGATCGTCGCTCTTGGCCCGCGTCCATCTCCATGTTATGCTGTTTGGATTGTGAAAGGGTTCGACTCGGCCTGATTATAAGTCGAACCAGGACAGAGTGTTTGACTGAACATGTTTTGACTTTGACAGTTTGCTCTGTAAACTTCTTCAGGGGTGACAGATGGGGTCATTCACTGACAGCTCCCAGCTGGAAACGCAGATTGAAGAAAAAAGAGCGAGTTTGGGATAAATGGAGGCATTTTCTTCTTCATTTTCTCCTCCAGTTTCTCCCGGTTCCACGGCCTGGTCACACACTTCAAGATCGGGGCCCTGTGCATGCACATCATCGAGCACGAGCTGAAGAGGTACGACCTCTGGCAGGACGAGCTGCAGAAGAAGAAGAAGGCCTATATCCTTTCAGAGAAACAGACTGTGCATGATTTACAGGAGAGGACACCGTGTTAGATGTTTGTGAGTGAATCTGAGTTCCTTGACTAACTTCACATGAAGAATTCCCAGAGAACCAGACTCTGAAGAAAGAGCATGAGAAGTCCTTCAGGAAGTACCAGAGTCTCCTGATCAAGCAGGAGCAGCTCCTCAAAGGTACGGCTCTTCCCTCTGATTCGGGTCTGTATGCAGAACTAAGTCCTGGTTCTGTCTCTGATGGAACCGTCTTTGCTGCTGCTCTCCCTACGAAACAGAGGGGAGGAGTCAACAATCATACAGCTGATTAAACTTAATTATCACAACGATTAACTCTTGACTTTACTGAACCTAAAGTGTGTTTTCTTCACCCCACAGTGGCTCTGCGCCTCCTGCTGAACCTGGCCGAAGACATCAGCATAGAGCTGAAGATGAGGAACAAGAACGTCGTCCACATGCTGGTGAAGATCCTGGACCGGGAGGACCGGGAGCTGCTGCTGGTGGTGGTCACCTTCCTCAAGAAGCTCTCCATCTTCCTGGAGAACAAGAACGACATGGTGAGAGACGAAGTTTCAGAGTCGATGAGTCCAGAACAGGAGAGAGTGATGTTATGTGATGATCCACTTTAGCGTTATCTCGTTAATTGGTGCCTCATTTCCACAATTGACCTTGCTTCTCTGCCGTGCAGACGTCTCTCTGCCTGCTCCTGCTGCTTGAGCTTTAATCATTTCTTCATGACTTTTAAATCACTTGACTAGTCTTGGTTTTGATTTTACTTTTCTCTTTTAAGTAAACCAAGATCTTTAAAATCATTTTTGCGCTTTTTACTGTACTTTTTACTTTACCGAGTGACTGGATAATACAGCTAACCAGCACCAAGATGCCCCACTTCAGCACGGATGATTACCACAAACTGCTTCAGAAAATTGCAGTGCTAGAGACCAAAATCAACCGATTAAGAAGCAAATGTGGATAGAAACGGACGGTGCGGGAATGAAACAACATCTTGTGACCAGAACCATAACACACAGCTTATCACTATCGACCAAGAAGACTACGGATCCTCCAATGCCTCTTCTTCGGATTCCCTCGGAGCTAAACCCAAATCATCTCACTGGAATATGGGAGGACAAGCAGAGCCCAGCACCCTGAGATCTGTGATGAGACTGGCTGGCCTAAACTATCTTCAACACCTGTCCAGCGTAAGAAGCAGCCATGGATAGCTGCCAAAGGAGGCCCTAAAATCAAAAACAATCTCCCCCCGCAGCAGCCATCCCTCTCACTGCACAACAGATTTGCTCCACTGTTACGGAATCCTGGATCCTCATCTCCGCATAGCAGGGTAAGATCTGAGAGAAAATCAAAAAACGGGGAACCTCAAACATTGATTGTGGGTGATTCTGCTATAAAAGACATACAAAACAGGAGCAAAAACAGCAAAGTGCTCTGCTTCCCCAAGGATATGGTCTGTGACATAACAGGCAAAATTCAGGATATAGTGGCCTCATATCCCTCTCTGACAGCTATTGTGATTCACTGTGGAGCTAATGACATTGTAACAGAACAATCTGAAAAACTAAAACGTGATTTCAGTGAACTATTAAAAACAGTCAGCTCCCTGAATGCTCAGGTATTCATCAGTGGCCCCCTTCCACCAATCAAAAGAGGAGATATGAGATTTAGCAGACTTTTTGCCCTGAATCGATGGCTATCTACTGCCTGTACCAAAGTCAACTTTATTGATAACTTCAGGCTGTTCTGGGACCGCAGGCATTACTTCAGAGCAGACGGACTCTCTCTAAACAAAGCTGGAGTGAAACTATTCACCTCCAACCTGTATCACTCCCTGCGTCACCCATCCGTCAAGGACAAGAGACAAGAGGCAAAAAGACATGAGATAAAACACCACGGCCTTGACAGAGAGACGCCTCGGGCCCCCCCGCGCACAAAAAGCTTTGGTTCAAGCCAGAAGGAGGAGTCTGTACTTCTTCTACCACCGCTCTCCTTAGAGGACCCACCCTGCTCAAGCAAGGAGGAGGAATCTCTACTTCCTGTATGCCCACCAACCGAGGAAGACGTGCCCTGCCAAACGTCACCCATAGCATCCTCCTCCCTGGGCACACCATCCCCCTCCTCCTCCCTCCTGGATTTTCCAGCTGAACTGAGAGAACTGGAGAATGCTGGAGTGAGACTTAGCGGCACGCCTCTCCACCACTCCAGCCACAGGACGGTCCTCCCCCCTCCAAACCCCCCAAATCACCCCAAATCCTCCAAACAGCAACGTGCACCTCCTCCTCCCCCACGACAAGGAGTACTGCAGCATCCTCTCCCTCAGCGTGATAAGAGCACAGGACTAACAGTGAGGAACACCTCGTTCTCAATAAGCTCTTGCTGATATGTTTTGGGTCCAGGCAAGGATAACTATAGTTATATCTCTTCCCAGGACAGCCTGTGGCCCGATGAGATAACGCCACCAATCCCAGTCATAATAAGTAATAGACACACTAATCTGCCTAAAAACAGAAGGTATCTAACTAAGAATTTATCAAACTTAGTCTCCATCCCCCGTCAGCCCATCATGAAAACCAGTACAGAAAATTTCTCTAGCACACTACACTCAGCTCTTTTAAATGTCAGATCTTTAGCTGGAAAATCATTCTTAATCAACGATCTTATCATCAAGCACAATCTCAACTTAATGTTTTTAACTGAAACCTGGTTAGAACAAGATAACAGTGCAACTGTACTTATCGAGTCAGCCCCCCCTAACTTCAGCTTTATGAGTGAAATGAGGAAGCATAGAAAAGGAGGTGGAGTAGCTATTCTATTCAAGGACTCAATGCACTGTAAACAGATGTACTACGGGAATTTTCCTTCCTTTGAATATGTGGCCTTCCAGTTGAACTCTGCTACTAGAGCAATATTCCTTAACATCTACAGACCTCCTAAATAGGGAACCGAAGCCACGCCCACTTCCGCGTTAGCGCTATAGGTCCTATTGGGATAATAGGAGTGAATGGACAGGTCTATGGTATTTTCTGGTCCGCTTTGTTTTACACCCTGAGTCACAAATATGTTGTATTTTAACTTAAATGATAACCATTAAGGTAAATAAAGGCTATGTTTGTTGTGTAATTGTTGATCTATTTGTCTTTGAAAACACGTAAATGGAGAGACTACAGACCTCAAGAAGTCGCGTAAATGACGTCACGTCAGTATTTCTACTTCTAGCTAGCTGACAACTCCTGTCAACTCGTCATCATTGCCAAAATGCCTGTGTGTTTTGTGCCAGAATGTCACCATAATAGTTCAGCAGGATGTTCCTTTCGCCGTTTCCCGGCTGATAAGAAGAAAAGGAGTCGGTGGATTCAATTAATCAGGTGAGACTTACATGATATGCGTCGTCTGTCAAAGCTTAGACAGTGACGCAAAAATAGTGCGACGAACGGTGTAGTTCATTACGTGGTCTCACTCTAAATTAAACTGTAGTTATAGCAACATGTCTAAAATCACGGCTTTTTCGAGGTTAAAATGTAAATTTAAACATGATAAACATTATATGTGAAATCCACGGCGTATACCAAAGCGGACCAGTAGTTATATATATCTGTCCATTCATTTTGATGGGCTCCATAGGACCGTATGCTAACCCGGAAGTTAGCATGACTTCGGTTCCCTATACTGTGTGAATTTTTTTGATGACTTTACTGAATTGCTGTCTATAATCTGTATTGACTTTGACTGTGTAGTGATTGTTGGTGATTTTAACATTCACGTTGACAACCCCCAGGACAGAGGCACCAAAGAATTGTGCTGTCTCCTTGATAACTATGGTTTGACCCAACATGTAACAGAGCCCACACACAATAGAGGTCACACTCTAGACCTAATTATTTCCAAGGGCCTGAACATACCCAAAATTATGGTCACTGATGTTGCTATTTCTGATCACTCCTGTGTGTTTTTTGAGAGTACTATCTCTATGTTATTCACCACTGCTCAGACAGAGGTAATCACCAAGCGGCTTATCACTGACTACACCAGTGAAATATTTAATCAGGCTTTGACTCCTCTCCCAGCTCTCTCACGGCTCTCGGTCAATGAGCTTGTAGAAGACCTTTGCTCTAGAATCACAAATGTGATGGATGCCATTGCGCCCACCAAGGTGAAAATAGTCTCTGGCAAGAAAAGATCTCCATGGAGGAATGCCGCGCTGGTCAGAGCTGAAAAAAGAGAGTGTCGGAAAGCCGAATGCAGATGGCGAAAGACAAGCCTTCAGGTTCACTATCAGATCTATAAAGAGAGACTTCGTATCTTTAACCTAGAACTAAGAAATGCTAGACGATCCTTCTTCTCAGACATCATCACCAAAAACAAAAATAATGCACGCGCCCTATTTACCACAGTCGACAGGCTAACAAACCCGCCAGTATCAGTAGCCTCTGAATTTCTGTCTGCCAAGGCTTGTAATGAATTTGCCTCCTTCTTCAATAACAAAATCCAGAAAATTAGACAAACAGTCAGTAGCTCAATATCCGGTACAGGATATGTGTTGTCCACGCGTACTAACCCCAGTAGCATGACACAATTCAACCTGATCAACATTAAAACCCTGGAGGACATCATACTAAATCTGAACTCCTCCACCTGCTGCCTTGATTCTCTGCCAACAGGTTTCTTTAAAACAGTTTCTAATTGCATGGCCTCAGATCTTCTACAGATTGTCAACATGTCACTTCTGTCAGGTGTCTTTCCACAGGCCCTGAAAACTGCTGTCATAAAGCCTCTCCTAAAAAAAAGCAACCTAGACAACTCAGTAATGAACAATTATAGGCCTATATCGAACCTCCCGTTTTTAAGCAAAATCATTGAAAAAGCAGCCTTCCAACAGCTTCACAACTTCTTAGTCCTAAACAACTGTCTTGACGTTTTCCAGTCAGGGTTTCGACCGCATCACAGCACTGAGACTGCTCTTATCAAAGTCTTTAACGACATCCACTTAAACTCAGACAACGGCAAAACTTCAGTCCTAGTATTGCTCGATCTCAGTGCCGCGTTCGACACGGTTGACCACAGCATCCTACTCGATCGACTGGAAAACTGGGTGGGACTTTCTGGAACAGTACTAAACTGGTTTGCATCCTACTTAAAGGATAGAGACTACTTTGTGTCTCTAGGTAATTACACATCAGAGCGAACAAAAATGACATGTGGGGTTCCCCAAGGCTCCATTCTGGGGCCACTCCTGTTCAACATTTACATGCTCCCTCTAACTCAAATCATAGCAAACAACAAAATATCTTACCATAATTATGCAGACGACACACAGATTTACATAACCATATCGCCAGGCGACTACAATCCAATACAAACACTGAGTCAGTGTATTGAACAAATCAACGATTGGATGTGTCAGAATTTTCTTCAGCTAAACAAAGATAAAACTGAAGTAATTGTATTTGGAGCAGAAGACGAGCGATTAAAAGTCTGTGCTCAGCTTCAATCGATAATGTTAAAAAGCACAAACCAAGCCAGAAACCTTGGTGTTGTCATGGACTCAGACCTGAATCTTAACAGCCACATAAAGACAATTACAAAGTCAGCCTACTATCACCTGAAGAATATATCAAGGGTCAAAGGACTGATGACCCAGCAGGATTTGGAAAAGCTTGTCCATGCATTTATCTTCAGCAGACTTGACTACTGTAACAGCGTCTTCACAGGTCTCCCCAAAAAATCCATCAGACAGCTCCAACTGATTCAGAATGCTGCTGCTCGAGTCCTCACTAAGACCAAGAAAGTAGATCATATCACCCCAGTTCTCAGATCTTTACACTGGCTTCCCGTCTGTCAAAGAATTGATTTTAAGATACTATTGCTGGTTTATAAAGCACTGAATGGATCAGGACCAAAATACATTTCTGATATGCTGATACGTTACGAACCACCCAGACCGCTCAGATCATCAGGAGCAGGTCTGCTCTCTGTCCCCAGAGTCAGAACTAAACGTGGAGAAGCAGCTTTTAGTTTTTATGCTCCTCATATCTGGAACAAACTCCCTGAAAACTGTAGGTCTGCTGAAACTCTCAGCTCTTTTAAATCACAGCTGAAAACGCATATGTTTGCTGTGGCCTATCATTAAATCAAACCTGAGGCCTTTAATCAACATCTTCATCATCTGCCTGTCTTGATCTTTTTTTTTCTATCTCTCCAATCTAACCTTTGTTTTCTTTTATCTCCAATCTTATTTTAGCTTTGAATGTAACTTTTAATCTGTTAAATGTCTTTTACGCTGTTTTTACTTTTTAAATTGTGTTGAATGTTTTGCCTGCTTGTTTCATGTAAAGCACCTTGAATTGCCCTGCTGCTGAAATGTGCTATACAAATAAACTTGACTTGACTTGACTTGACTCTGTACACACATGAAAACATGAACGCTGCCTCGAGTGTCCAATCAGGGAACTGCAGTTCTTTACAGATATTTAGAAACCTGACAGAAACTATCTGATGAAGTTTTAGAGGAAGATATCAAACTCTGCCTCATTATGACTTAACAAATCAAAGATCATCTATTTCCATAGTTAGATTTTTAAACTGCAGCAGAAAGGAGTTTTTTTCTGGTGCCTCCTTTAAAAAAATCACACGAGTCCTAATCATGGTTGAATAAAAACATTTTTGGCTCGTCTTGGATCTCGGAAACTTCTGGTTTCTGCAGATTTTCGAGGTTTGGTTTACGTCACCATGATCGTGTCCGTTAAAAACTTTTTGTTCTGACGTTTAAACTCGATTTTTCACGTTTTTAAAGACACCCTCCGTCTCTGTTTGTTCGGTCAAACACTCCCGGGGTCGTTTTGACAAATAGCTGCTCCTCTGTAGGAATGCCAGCTGAAACCAGAGTGATCAGATTTCACTTGAACAAGTACTCCGATGGTCCACTTTTGGCCACGTGTCCCTCAGCGCTCGTTCAGGAACCTCTCTGCTCCGGCTCGCTCTAATCCACCTCCACCTGGTTCCAATCTGGCTCAGTTTGTGGGTCTTTATCAAAGCCAGACCCTGTTAGGAACTGGTTTTATCTCCGTGTTTCCCCTTCAGTGTATCTTTGATTCAGATTAAAGGACCCTTCAGGGGGTGTGGGCCCAGTCCAGCATGAGTCCAGCTGGAAAAAAAGACTGTTTTCAACACTTTGAGTAGATCAGTTTACACAGGGGAGAGTTTTTCTTCTGTGGAGGGACAGCAGAGGTGTTTAATTGACTCACAGAGACCTGAGTTATGCACTAATGTGTGTCATCAGTTTGTGTTTTCACTACAAACACGCCGTGACTTTCTCCTCATCAGATAACTCAATCAGATCAGGTCACTTTCCCGCCGCTGTCACTAATGGAGGGGGGCGGCGGCCGTAATTGACGCGGGCTGCTCTTGATTACTCAGCTCCAGGTCTGGTCTGTGACGCTGCGACTGGAGCTGGTTTTCACACACAGTAGCAGCGAGTGCGTTTTAACTGGGAGCAGGTTGATATCAGGCTGTGTGGGGAGACCACAGGAGAGGGAGGCGGACACGTCAACGAGCGGCACGGGTCCGACCGGAGCTCGGCTGTGTCACATCGACAGTGACAGCATGTGGGTTTTACTGAGAGGGATCTGAGTCCGGGTCTGAGATCTGTTCGGTGTCTTCAGCTCAACACCTCCACCTGTCTGTGATCCATGAGAACCTCCTCTGACAGGAAATAAAGAGGGAAACGTCAGCGTGTGAATATTTCTATCCTGATTTTTAAAGGGAGAGTGACTCTAATATTTGTTTTTGTGACTATTAACACAACTGAACTGTTTTAAACGAACCTCTGCGTGATTTAAATAATCCTTAAAAATGGTCTTAAGTATTTATAACAATGTTTATGTCGTGTTATAAGAGTGGACATCATTTACAGCTCATTTAATGCAGATAATCACTTATAATGAATGTTATAAAGCATCATAAATGTCATCAGCACTTTTTCCTCTAATAAAGGGAAGTTTAGAAAAACTTAAATAATAAAAACTTTAGTATTTTCTGTTAATAACATAAAAATTATACTCAGTTTTTTCTCAATATTTACTCTAAACTGAGTGAAAAATTATCAAATTAAATTTGCAGAATAAAGTCGAAGTAAAATCAAAATAAGAGGAGGATGAAGTCGTCGTGTCGTGAAGATAAATAAAGAGCAGCAGCTGGAGCGTCTGGTTCAAGTGTCCCTAATGTTTTGTCTCCTCAGGACTTTGAACAGACTGAGACCTGCGGTGTCCCCCTTTAAAACAGAATCATAAATTAACTTTTATTTTTCTAAGTTCAGCGTTAAAACTCATAATTTTCCCAAAGTTTTTTTCCATCATCACACTTCCTGTTTTATTCCAGTCGAACCCGTTTATTCCCAGTTAGGTTCCTCTTGTTCCACTGTGATGTGACGCTTTATTCCTCTAATTTTTTCACCTTCATGCTCCAGTTAAAAATAGAGTTACTGATAATATTATAAATGTTCACAAACTAACCTTACAGTTTTATTTTGTATATTTACATTCCTTTAAGTTTAAGTATTTTTATATCATTTATACCCGAGAAAGTTTTTAATTTTCGTGATTTTTATTTGATAGTTATAAAGCACACTGCAGAAGAGTTAAATATGACAGTCAAAGTGTTTTTTTTAAGTCGATTACAGAGTTACAGATGTGAGTTGAACTCCTGAAGTTTCATCTTGACTTCTTTTCTCTCTCCGTCTCTCTGCAGGCGGAAATGTCGGCGGTGGAGAAGATCGCTCAGCTTGTTCCTTGCGAACACGAGGAGCTCCTGAACACCGCCCTGCGTCTCCTGTTCAACCTTTCCTTCGACAGAGCACTGCGCGGCCAGATGGTGCAGGCGGGACTCATCCCCAGACTGTCCTCGCTGCTCGGTAATCAGGCTGGCTTTGACCGACTGTTATTTGTCTGTTTATTTATGTGTGATAGCCTCTTTAAAAAACACTCACCCAGTCGGTAATTTGTTTTTACTGAGGCGTAGGCGCAGGTGCAGCTGTTACGCAGCAGCAGCGCACCGTCTCTGGTGACCATTAGAGCAGTGACCTCCTGGAAGCTCCGGAGCGTGCGATTGGTGCGTTGTCTCATGCGTGGGGCGTGTGACACGGTCAGAAGCATCTCTGACAGACCTTTTGAAGCCTCTCAGGGGGAGGCTCGGGTAACGGCGCATAATTAATATAATATATTTGTTAGAATAACATGCCAGAGCCTCTGCACAAATGTTGTTTTTGCAGGAGCGGGCCGGAGAGGTGGAGGGGTCTGCAGAGATTTAGGGAGGGAAGTGGAGGGTGGGGGTCTGCTTCAGGAAGCGTGGCACACACATAATATAACTGAACACTGAAATATTACGCCCCCTCACAGGTCTGACACGGCTCTGAGTTTGTGTGTGTGTGTGTGCGTAGTTTGCGGCGGCGTCATTAATCATGAGCTTTCACTGCAGACCGTCCTCCTTTAGCCGACACACTCTGCATGAGCGCTGAAGTCTTATCTCCAAAGAGAGAGGGTGAGGAGGGGTCTCCATCCAGACCTGACCCGGGGTCCTGACCCCTGATGATAAGATCAAAGTCCAGAGCGGGTCTCTCTTGTCATCATCGCCTCTCACTCGATTCATCCCAACACCACCTGAACTCAGAGACAGAAGAAGGTTCCTCCTCCTCCTCCTCCTCCTCCTCCTCCTCCTCCCTGTCAGCTCACTCTTATCTTCACTCTCATGATCTCCAGCTGCTGCAGGAACTTTCTGATGAATTTATAATCCGCTGAACGAGATCAAGTCTCTCTGTTTGAAGGAGATTCACACATTTGAAGAAGAAGCCTAGTTTAGATCTGCGTCTAAAGAAATGATAAGCGTTTGTAGATTTTTTCAGCCTGCAGCCATAAAACAAACTCAAGAGGTCGGAGGCGGACGCTTCAAATCAGACCAGAAGAAGTTCTTGTATTTTGCACGTATCGGTTTAGATCGTTACTCTCACTTCCTGTCTGTAACGCTGTTGAAGTTTGGACCAGAAACCGGTGTTATTGTAACCTGAAGGTTCGAGGTAAGGTGGTCGGATAATTCTAATGATGAGAAACAGCAGGATGGAGACGGAGAACTCCAACATAACCCCCCCAAAACACAACATCTGATCACATGTCACAGCACTGACCAATCAGAGGCGAGGAACCCAAAGTAAACCCAAAGTTTAAAGCTGCTGCTCAGTTTTGAGATCATTGAGGTGATTGAGGACAGGTGAGGAGAGGGGGAGGGGTCAACTGTGGAGAGGTTGGTTGTGATTTGTGCTCTGGGGCTTTGACTGACAGGTAGGGTATCCAATATGAGGAGAGGTGGACAGAAATGATTCCTGGGCTACAAAAACATCATAATCTTTAAAAAAATTAAAACGCCCCAAAATGCCAAAAGCGTCGTTTTTAAAAGAGGCCGATGACTTTGGATAAAAAAAATGATGTTAAAGCTCCTATGAGGAACTCCACTTTAGTGTTGGTTTGGCGCCCCCTGTGGACAAAGTGACACCTCTGTTTTCTTTGCTGATCTAATGTCTCAGAAGAAAATCTGAAGTTAAAAATCTTGTTGCTGATATTTTGTCTGATTTTGAAGCTCATGATCGGATATTTTTGTCCATTTATTTATGTTAAAAATTCCCTACAGGAGCTTTAAATCTTTGTCTTGTTTGATCGAAGAGACGATTGTTTGAAATGAAGGAAACGTTTTCATAAATATTGTGAGGTTAATAAGAGAGACTTAGAATTTTCTCTTCTTTTTTGTGAGTGCCTGTAATTTCAGTATCTTTGGGTTAATTTGACGGATTTAGACTTTAAACTGTTTCCTGATATTAAGAGTCAAAAAGAAGAAAACTTTTCTTATTTCTCAGCTCAGTTTTATTCTCCCACAATGCAGCTTGTTGCCCGTCATTACGCTGCATAAACGAATGAGCAGACTGGCGTTGGGGGCGGGGACGTCTTTACGAGGTTTGGGCTCTGTTATGTGGTCTGGGATGTCTCACAGGACTGAACCCGGCTCGTTTATTTATCCAGAAAATCACAATAACAAGCGAGAGCTGCTGTCCACAGACCGCGCCCCAGACGCCTCCTAATGCGTGCGGCTGTCATTTTACGAAGGTTAGGCGGTTTGAAAGCAGGCCGGGGTGTAATTGGAGTTTCGCTCTCCCACTAACGGCCCATGAACAGTCCAGTTAATTCTTTACAGCACCCCCCCATCCCTGAACCCGACCGGGGTTCTGAACCTTTAATAGGATCTCTCTCCTCGCTCATAAAGGATCCTCCATGTCCCTGTGTAAGTGTTTGTAAGTGTGTGTGTGTGTGTGTGTTTTCACGAGCGTTGGAAAGGTATTGGTTGAGGTAAAGGATCACTAATGAGAAGCACATGTTGCAGCCAATCGGTGAGCGGCGAGCGGCGGCGGAGCTTCGACTTATTAAAGGCAGTAAAATTGATGCTTCCTCCTGTTTTCCCAATTAAAGCCCGAAGCCGTCTCTCTCTCTCTCTCTCCTCAGCCCTCCTGTGATTCCAGGGGTTCACTGAGAACATCTGGATCCAATCCTCGGTGATAAGACGCCCAGTGACCGAACACGGCTGGGACCAGATTTAACTGGACCCGGTCGGGGCGTCACTGGAGGTCTGTCAGTGGTTCTGGTCCAGTGAAGAGCCTCTCTCTTAACACTTCTCTTAATGAAAAGTTCCCGGGTCACATTCTGGACTGGACTCTATTAATCCTCCTCCTCCTCCTCCAGGCCTGCCCCCCCCCCCCCCCCCCAGTTCCTGTCAGAGGTCAGACTCATAAAGGTCCTGGTCTCCCTGACAGTCTAACACTCAATCCGTTCAGTCTTTATCTTTAAAAGCGTCGCTGCACAGACTCGATAAACTCACTCAGGAGCGAAGAGACGGAGAAATATTTGAGTGTCAGTTCAGACCGGACAAAGTTCACCTCTGTTTTTATTGATTACTTTGTGCATTTTATTGTTAATTCTTGACCTTCGACCTCTTCATCTATGAACTGCATGTTTTATTCTTTCTTTTTTAACACCGCTCCTTAACCTTCACTCATTATTCCTGTGAAACAGCCTGATTTTAGTAGGATCTGCTCTATTGTTGTCTGGACCTCACTGTGCTTTCAGAGGATTTAATGTAACCCTAATAACAACAACAATAATAATAATTATTATTATTATTATTAGGGTCAATTCAGACTCTTAACCTTAAAACTGCGTCCTCTCTGAGCAAACTGCAAAGTATAAAACTTTAAAAACAGAATTAAAAACACACGAGGGAAATAGTACGAAAAACAAACAAATGATTCACTGACAAAATAAGGAAACCTGATTTGTCTGCATTTTTCTAAGCAGTCAAAGTGTCAGGATACAATCAAACTGTTTCATCAGACTATAAAAAAGACATTTTTCTGCTGAATTTCTCGAATATCTCTAGAAAAATGTCAGAAATCGATTATCAATGGCAGAAAAAGTTCAACTTTTTGTTTGTTTCTATAAGATCTCAGGCTCAGAGTAAACTGATATGTTGGTTTAATATCAGTACGGTCAAATATCGGCCCTGTTGACACACATGATCTGCACAGATGTCAGTATGTAATCTTCATCTTCATCATCTGCAGAACTCAAGTTTTGATGGAGCAGAAGAAGTCCTGTAACGAGGAACATCTCTGATCCAGACTACATGAGGGTCACCTACGACAATTAAAGCTTCAATGTGGAGCTTTTGAATTGCACAGGCGCCCCCCTGTGGAGGGAATGTCTGCTCAGCGTTTCCTGTCCGTGTCTGTTTCTTAAAGACCTCATCCTGCTTTCGTTCTTCATCATCGACACCTGCTCTGCTGCAGGACTCTCAGACACTCAAACATGAGTCTTCTTCTTCTTTGTGGTCCTGTTTGCTTATTTCAGAGGTGTCCAAATTTATCTGAGTCTGTTTCAGATCCAACTCAAACCTCCAAACAGGAGCGTTGATGAACTCCACTGTAGATATTTCTCTCCTAGATCACACCGTTAGCAGAGAGCAGCAGCTGTTTCTTCTGCTGCACATTTCTCCTCTTGTGTTTGTAAATATTTCACTTTAATTTAATCTGTCTCTCTGCAGGAACATCGTTAATAACCTGCATGAAAATGTTTCTCCATCATCTGCTGATAGTAGGAAAATGTTTTAAGTTCTCATTATGAGCGAGTCGTACATTTTTAGAGACTGTTTTTGCCGTTAGACTGACTGCTGAGTTTTTCCTCTTTTTCCCGTTTTCCCTTTGTTTTGGACGGAGACAAATCTCTGGATAATCTCGAACCCTGCTCGGTAAAGCCTCTTTTTGTAATTTAGGATCATACTGGCGCCTTTAAGCGGCATGAAAGATCGCCTTTTTCCACATATTTCCCGTTCAATCTTGTTTTTCCTCTGGTAACCCGCCTGTGAGGGATGACAAACTGAGACACTGCAGCCGCCCGCTCCTGATTCTGCTCCCGCCGCCTCCTGACCTCCAACAGGACTCGCTGTTAAAAAGTCCATTCAGCCCATTAATACCTTCAAAAAACACACAGCCCTCCCTAGATGTGGTCATTGGCATCCCGCAGAGCGTTACGGCACAACTGCTCATTCATGCATTGACCGTCCTCCTCCTTCTCTGTTTATGTTGCAGCTGACGAGGCCCAGAGACACTTCAGCATGTGCATTCTGTACCACATCAGCATGGACGACAGATTCAAGTCCATGTTTGCCGACACAGACTGCATACCACAGGTAAGACTGGCTAATGTACCAAACCCAGCAGACCAAGACAGACACATTAGCATCAGCAGCTAACGGCCCCGGGGGAATGAATGCATGAGAACCAGAGGGAGAGGGAGGGGACGCCACACCACATCTGGAGCCAAAAACCACCAGAGGACTGCTGCTCAGTCTTCACTCTCACTCTGATGACAACGAAGACTTTACGTCTCCCCACTGAGTCCTGCACAGATCCTGCAGATACTCCCGTGTCCTCTTTAGAGACGAGCGTCTGAGTTATCATCGTTAAACTTCAACATGATCATCGCAGCTGTTTTTTACTCTCAGATAAGTCATTTTTAATCACCCCAGGTCTACTGTTTGCAAAGTGATTCAGTCTTTTTTAAAGTGTAAAATTAACTTTGATTAAAAGGGTCTCCTTGGTCCTGGAGATATTGTTCAGAATTATGTTTAAAACTGAGGATGCAGCATCTATGTTTTCCAGTTCTGTGTTGAAAGGACGATTGGACTTACTAAGGCGAAACATCTCAAGTAAGTCCAGGTGTCCTTTCAACAAAGAACTGGAAATCATAGATGCTGCATCCTCAGTTATAAACATAATGCGGAACAATATCTCCAGGACCAAGGAGACCCTGAACTGTTGAGCAGCTGAAATCATCGATCAGGCCAAAACATTTGACTGTCAGACTCCAGAAACTGGTCTGCTGGGTTCACTAAGGTCTACAGAGAGAGGCGGGAAGAAATAAGCTGAAGCAATAAAACAGAGCAGAGATGATGGAGGAACTTTGAGAAATGAAGGTAGAAGAGAGCAGTGAGTGGGAGAGTAAGCAAGCCTCAGGGCAGGGTCAGAGGTCACATCCTGGTCATGCTGCTCGGGGAGGAGGCTGGGCGGAGACCTCAGGGTTCAGATCTGCTGCTGACGTGACCCTTCTGAACAAACAGCCGACTCTCCCGGCCACATCTGGCGGGCATTTACACCCAATCTCAACAAACAAACACGACGCACGTTTAACTAATCGCCAGTGATGAGAGGAGCGACTGACCGGGTCAACTCAATCAGGAGGGAGCGGCGCTCTGCGAAAATGTTATGATCGAAGGTTGAAAGAAATCAGCCTGGGGGGGTGGGGGGGCTTTCTTAGGAATCCTCGAGGATATTTGAGTTTGAATAAACCTGGGCCGCGTTTTAACATAGATCTGGGAACTAAAGGTCTAGAAGTGCTGAAATACTCAGAGAGATGACTCCGGCCTGATGGGAAAGCACAGCGGTTATTTCACTCATTTAAAAACAAGCTGAACACGGCTGGAGTCGAGCAGAAACTCCAGAGATCCGCTCAGTAAAATCCACGTTTCCGTCAGAGAGGTTAAAGGGATATTCCGGCATAAAATTAAGTTTAAAGACACCGTAACACAGAGTTAGACCCACCGTCCAGAGATGAATGTTGCCGCTCTATAGCCACAAATAATGCTCAGAACAGCACCTAACTTCATCAACAGGACATATAGGGTCACAGACATAGTACTAGACAACAAACATCTTTTTAACTTTGACTCATTTATTTAGTAAAGAGACTAAACACAACTCACCTACTCTCTTCCAGCAGACGCTTGTTTGTAGTGAGACCTCAGGCCAGTCCATTACGGACTACAGCGGGGTGCCGCAGCTCAAGGAAGAACATTTATGATCATTTCTTTATCATTTCCTTGAAGTAATAATCACCATATTAATCATTTTACAGACGCAGTAGTTCTTCTGTCTTAGCGTCTCGGTCTGATTGTATTTACATGAAGAAATGATCATAAATGTTCTTCCTTGAGCTGCGGCACCCCGCTGTAGTCTGTAATGGACTGGCCTGAGGTCTCACTACAAACAAGCGTCTGCTGGAAGAGAGTAGGTGAGTTGTGTTTAGTCTCTTTGCTAAAGAAATGAGTCAAAGTTAAATAGATGTTTGGTGTCTAGTAGTAGAGGAAATCTTAACCTTTAACAATGTGGTTTGGTAACCTAAAGACAAAAGGCAGATGTCAGCTGCAGAAAATACTGAATCTAGCCTCTAAAATCATCAGGAAACTGATGGCTCCTCTGACCGCTGTGTATTACTATCCTGCGGTCGTTACTAAAGTTGGTATAACTAGAGAAGCAAGCGGTCGACAACATTCATCTCTTGACTACGTGTGTTTGACCCTAACTTAATTTTACGCCAGAATATCCCTTTAAGCCCATGCGGTGACTCCAACTACAGAGTCCTGTTGTTTCTAAACCTGGAGATCTTGTTCAACATTAAAGGAGCCTTCACAGATGATGACATGGACTCTGATGATCCCCAGACCATCAGGGCTGCTGGTTCTGAACAGGGCGGTCATCAGGTCTAGACTCGAGTCTTATTTCTCTGGTCCTGATCCTTCGTTTTTTTTCATCCTCATAAAGATCAAAATTCTCCTCCATCCATCCATGTTCAGTAAAACTCCACCTTTAACAAACCGCCTCCTCTCGCTCCTCCACCTTTCATCATCTCTCACCTCTTTTACACTTTTAAGACCCCCCTCCACTCCCTCTCTCCCTCTCTCTCCCTCTCTCTCCCTCTCTCCCTCTCTCTCTCTCTCTCTCCCTCTCTCCCTCTCTCTCTCTCTCTCTCTCTCTCTCCCTCTCTCTCTCTCTCTCCCTCTCTCTCCCTCTCTCTCTCTCTCTCTTTTATCACTTTCCCAGGCCGCTGCCTGACCTGCCCTCTCCCCCTTCTCCTGCTTTAATGGGGTCAGGGTTTGCTGCTGGATGTAGATGTTGGGAGGAGCAGAGGGACAGAGGTGGAGGTGGGGGTGGGGGGGTTTGTGTTGGTCGGGCTGCAGCGTGGAGGAGGCCCCCGGTGGCCGTCTGTGGTAAATAAGCAGAGGCAGGTGCCAGAGAGTCTAGACGGGGCTGATTTTGGGGTCCGGGGCCTCTGGTATGTGATACCTTACCCAGGCCCGGTCCAGCCTCTTTACCCCCCCACCCCCTCTGGTTCCTCACAGGGAAGCAGCGCACCTCTGCTCCCCCATCACCCCCTCAGCTCCGAGCTCTTCCTGTTTAATGTTAGAGCGGTTCAGGAGAGTCAGACGGAGGGGGTGGAGGTGGGAGGGTGGACACTTCTCGATCAATATGAGCAGAATGTCTGACAGACTGGTTCTGATACTGGCTGACTGGTCCCCAAACTGGGTTTTTTTTCAGCCTCCAAGAAACAGGAAAGTTCATCCAGAATCCAGAGTTCGGTGGTTTAATCTGAACCCTTAATGAACTATTACCTGTGTGTTTGATCAGACAGCTCAGCCAGTCTCGTGTTTGACCTCTGAACCTTTGATTGACAGCTGATGAGGATGGTGTTCGACTGCGGCGAGAAGCTGAACATGGAGCTCATCGCACTCTGCATCAACCTGGCGCTCGACAAGAGTAACGCCCAGCTGGTCTGTGAAGGTCAGAGCGCCGCAGGACTCACGAACACGGAGACTCTGTGACTCTCAGCTCTGTGCGACTAACTCCACCTGTCTGTGCTGCTCCAGGTAACGGTCTGAAGATGCTGATGAAGCGGGCGGTGAAGAAGAAGGATGTTCTGGTGATGAAGATGATCAGAAACCTGTCCCAGCACAGCGGGCCCACAAAGACCCTCTTCCTGGTCTGTATCTGAGTGACTTTAGAGGACCTCGCTGACCTCCTCACATCCAGACACCAGTACCCGGTGTCTTTGTCAAACTCCTTGAATCCCGTGATGTTCATGTGATTCGTTTTTACTCCTCTGTCTCCTGCAGGACCACGTCGGTGACCTCGCGGCTCGAATCGGCGAGGAAGAGGCGGAGGAGTTTGTCATCGAGTGTCTCGGCACGCTGGGCAATCTGACCATCCCCGACCTGGACTGGGCGCTGGTCCTCAAGGAGTACAACTTACTGCCCTACCTGATGGACAGACTCAAACCAGGTGAGTGTGACCAAAACAGAGTAAATACGCCGCAGAAGAATACTCTGAGCGGTCTCTCCTGAGTCCTGCTTTAACCTCGAACCCCTCTCCATAAATCAGACTATCAGTGAGGACAGGAGGCCTATCCTGACCTCTGACCTCCTGACCCTCAGTTTCCTTTTTTTTAAATCTGTTTAAAATCAGAATCCTAAAGAGGGAATTATCGATAAACATTTTCACTCGGAGCTCTTGTTTTTGTTTTCTCAACATTTACTCCATTTGTGTCTAAAATGATCATGTTTCTGTTCAACCCTCAGGGGTCCTTAAAAAAAGTTACGTTTAGGTCCTTAGATGGACAAAAATGTCCATCTCCTAAAAGTGCTATGAAAGTACTAAAGATTATTATATTTTCGACCATTTTTTGCTTAAATCTTTTATTCGACTTCATTCCTGATCATATCTATCAAATATAATTTCATTTTCAGAGTTTTAACCCTTTTTATTCCAGTTTGATTAAAGTTGTCACTGTTTTCTTTAATGGGAAAAAAAGGAATTTGGAGTTATTTTCCATATATTAGATAATGGGCAGGATTTTTTTTTTATTAAGGTCTATGATGTGTCATTAATTAACAACAACATTAATTTTGATGTATTATCATGTTTGATGTATTGTTCAATTTCTAAAAAATGTACATTTAGGTCCTTAGCTGGACAAAAATGTCCAACTCCTAAAAGTACTGTAAAAATATTATGTTAATATTTTTTCTACTTTTTTTAGCTTGAATCTTTTAATTAACTTTATTTTTGATCATATTTATCAAATATTAATTCATTTTAAGAGTTTTAACCCTTTTTATTCCAGTTTATTCTTTAATGGGAAAAAAAGGAATTAGGAGTTATTTTCCATATATTAGATAATGGGCAGGATTTTTTTTTTATTAAGGTCTATGATGTGTCAGAAATTAACAACAACATTAATTTTGATGTATTATCATGTTTGATGTATTGTTCAATTTCTAAAAAATGTACATTTAGGTCCTTAGATGGACAAAAATGTCCAACTCCTAAAAGTACTGTAAAAATATTATGTTAATATTTTTTCTACTTTTTTTAGCTTGAATCTTTTAATTAACTTTATTTTTGATCATATTTATCAAATATTAATTCATTTTAAGAGTTTTAACCCTTTTCATTCCAGTTTGACCATATAAAGTCACTGTTATTTTTAATAGGAAGTTATTTTCCATAGATTAGATGCTGGGCAGGAATTTTTTTTTTTTTTAATTTATCAAGGTCTATAATGTGTCAATAATTAACAACAACATTAATTTTGATGCAGTATTATGTTTGATGTATGTTCTGGTTTCTAAAAAAGTTAGGTGTAGGTCCTTAGATCTCCTAAATGTGCTGGTAAAGTATTATACATTAATATTTTTTTCTACTTTTTTTTTGCTTAAATCAGTAAATCAACTTCATTCCTGATCATAACTACCAAATATTCATTCATTTTCAGAATTTTAACCCTTTAATTTATAGTGCTTTTGTCACACAGTGAATATTGACCTGATATAGTAATAGGTGGTGAAGTTTTAAAATTTGGAAAGAAAAAAAAAAAACTGAAAAAAATCATCCAATTTGCATGAACACAACCAAAACGATCAACAGATGAAAGGTAAAAAGTCACCAAAAATGGACAAAAAAAAAGAAGAGCCCCAGAGGGTTCAGACTTGATTTCTCGCTGAAGGAGGTCTGAGAAACTCTGAGCTGAATTTCATCCACCGCTCAACTCTCATCAGGAATAAAAATCTTCAGCATCAAACGGAAAAAGTCGTCTTACTTTCACGGCTGACAGAGGTCTGGATCCAGCCGTGGTTCAGCTCTTGTCTGAGGTTTCTGTGTCTCCGCTCCTCCTCTCTCTGATTTCAGGTACTGCGGAGGACGACCTCATCCTGGAGGTGGTGATCATGATTGGCACCGTGTCCATGGATGACTCCTGTGCCGCCATGTTGGCCAAGTCCGGCATCATCCCCGCTCTCATCGAGCTGCTCAATGGTGAGATCCAAAGATCAGTGTCCGGTCAGTCCACGTGTCTTAAACAAGAACTAGTAATGGACTCAGTTTGATCGAGATTATGTTTTATGTTTCTTTCAGCCCAACAAGAGGACGACGAGTTTGTCTGTCAGATCGCCTACGTCTTCTACCAGATGGTCTTCCACAAAGCCACCAGGGACGTCATCATCAAAGACACTCGTATCCTTAAAATCCGATATTTCTGATTGATTAGGACACAGCGAAGAACTCGACTGTTTTTGTCACATCAGCTGAAAATCTGAGAGTCTGTTTTTTCCTGAAGCGCTGATCTCAGAGGCCCCGGCGTACCTCATCGACCTGATGCACGACAACAACGGCGAGATCCGCAAAGTCTGCAACAACACGCTGGATATCATCGCTGTGAGTGAACAGACTCCGAATTCAGCTGTAGGGACTTTGGCCAAGTGTTTAAAGTGGGAGGAGCCAATTTAAAGTGACACCTCCAAAACTGAATTTGTAAAAAGATGCTACAATATACAGTATATAGGATAGATCAAGCAAAGACTGCTTCGTCCACAGGGGGCGCCAAAGTTGACACCTTAGAGGAGCTTTAAATACAACTTTATACGTAAAATTACAGCAAAATAATCATGAAGTACTTTAATTTTTTTTACACTTTAATTCTTGGAACATTTTTTCTTTCTTTCTTTCTTATTTTTTTCTTTGTTCCTACTTTCTTTCATTCTTTCTTTTTATTTCATTCTTTTTCCTTTTTCTTTTTTCTTTCCTTTTTCTTTCTTATTTTCTTACTTTCTTCTTTTTTTCTTCACTCTTTTTTCCTTTAAATTTTTGTCTTTCTTTTTTTTCTTTCTTTTTATTTTCTTTCATTCTTTGTTTTTTTATCTCATTCTTTTTTACCTTTCTTTTTTCCTTTTTATTTTCTTTCTTCTTTCTTTCTTTTTTATCCCATTCTTTTTTTCCTTTTTCTTTCTTTCTTTCTTTTTTCTATTACTCTTTTTAAATTATAAATAATGGAAAAACAGAAAATTTACCAGGCAACAATAAAAGATATGAATAAGATTAGAAAAATTAAAAGATAAAAGTGTAGATGTATCATAAAGACAAGTATTATTAAATTATTTCACATTTTTCCATTTACAGTAAAAGTGAGACTTAAAAAAATCAGGATCTTCATGATAAGATAAAAAAAAAAGCTTTCACGGAGATTGTTTGGTTGTTAAAATCTCAAGTTTGCTCACAGTCTGGAAACAATAACTCTTCAGTTTTTAAGATGAATATTTTCCATTAAATCCAACATGAAAATAAAACCCTCAGGAAAGCCTCGTAAAAATCCTGATCCAGTTTTCTGATCCGGCTCGTTTCAGCAGCCAGAGACAAATTTGACATCAGCGATTAACCGAGCAGAGAATTTATAAATCAGCCGGTGACTGACAGGTGTGGTCAGCTCCCAGTCAGTGTGTGATGGCTGCCAGGCCTCAGATCAGCATCATTAGCCGTAGATTACAGCCAGGCGGCGAGCAAGAGAGCGAGCGAGCGAGCGAGCGAGGAGGGGGGCAGAGGAAGTGTTTCATTGAAATTATCAGTGAGACCTATTAAACCGTGGACCACATGAAAGGGGGACGGGGAGGCTCTGGAGTGTGTCAGCGGGCGGACAGCAGAGGTGAGAGAGAAAGCAGAGCTGTGGACACACACACACACACACACACACACACACACACACACACACACACACACAGGATCATTACTGCTCGGTGGTGTGCAGTCCTTTGGCAGCACACAGTATAACTGTGCAGTCCTGAAACTTGTGCCTTTGATCAGCGAGGCCCGGCTCATGTACACACACACACACACACACACACACACACACACTCAGAGCTTCATAAGCAGCTTTGTAGATCCTCCAGTTGGGACAGAGGCCTAATTCAAAAGTGTGATATTCTTAGCTCGGTCATATTTCCACAGAAATATGATGGAAAAACTGCCCCACACACACACACACACACACACACACACACACACACACACACACACACACACACACACACACACACACCCTCTGCTGTGATGAGGTCATCCTGCAGTGAGCTCAGCTGCTAATAACTTTGACTCATATTTAATGTGTATGAGAAGATAATCGCTGAGTCATGGACCAGCAGCAGATAGCGGTCTCGTCTCTCCGTTTGAGTCCGGAGCCTCAGTCCGCTGTCAGGACCCGCTGCTGTCAGGACCCGCTGCGCTCTGCTCTACGTCTGAATGATTAATCTTCCAGGCGGGGGCGTCGCGGTCTCAAAGGCCGCCTTTATCGCTCGCCCTTCAGCGCCTGCAGAGAAAAGAAAACAGAGCTCTGTGGTCGTCCTCCGCAGAGAAACACACGGAGCAAACAGCTGAGCGGGCGGACGGACGGATGGATGGATGGAGGGTTTTATGAGCTGCTGCGAAGACGGACTGCACACACACTACCTCTGAGTCTTAAAGGAAACGACAGTCGACTGAAAAACTTTTCACTGTTTTGACTTTTCACTCCACATTAATGTCAGTTAATAGAGAAAACAAAGTTGATTGTAAAACTGTCTTTAACCTGTGAGCTGAAACTGTGGGAGGGAGGACCAGGATTTCTAAAATCAGAGGAGTCTCTGGTGGTCCTGGTTCGATCTGGTCTCCTCCTTCATAGTTCAGTTTGAACCTCATTAGTAGATGCAGTGATGAGCTGTGTTCACAGTCAATGGTTTTTGAAGTCCATGCGGTGACTCCCACTCCAGAGTCCTGTCTGTTTTTAACGACCTGAAGCTCTATGACTCTCTACTCTTTAAAACTGAGGATGCAGCATCTATGATTTCTGATCAAGTCCAGTTGTCCTCTCCATGTGGTGATTTCCACTTCAGAGTCCAGTCCGTTTTTATTGCCCTGACGATCAGGACCATCCAGTCTTGGCAGATGTCTTTGGTTTTATTCTGAGTAGCTGATCTTCTCTGTCTCCCTCTTAATTCAATTTCAACTTCAGTTTTAATAAGCTTTAATGGTATGACTGCTTGTACAATCTTGCCAAAGCATTACAATACTATAAGATCAATAACATCAGTCACATCATAGACTGTATATAGAATGGACGCCGTCTGCCTCCTCGCTGGGTAAAGCCACCCTGAGAACAGCGCCCTCTGGTGACGGGCTGCAGTATAGGTCATAAACCCCGCCTCCTTATGGAGCTGTGGACAAACTTTATAAATGAATGACACAGAATATAAATGTTTCTCCCCCCTGGTTGTGATGTTGACATGTAGTTACTGTCAGACTGGTTTGTGCTCAAGTCCTCTTTTTTCTGTACAGCTCCATTTTTAAAAGTTATTAGGGGGTCCATATTTTCTATGATTGACACTTGATACAGCCTCTGCACCCAATGCTACTGCGTAAGTGTTGGAGTGCGTACAACGCCACTGCGGAATGTTGGTTTCAGAAAGTAGAGAAAAAAACGCAGAATTACCAAGAGCGTTTTGGCTTCAAATCCGTAAACTGGCGGAAGGCAGAACCAAGTTGTCCAAAGTGTATACAGTCTGTAAATAACATCAACAACAACAATGACATCAATGACAACAATGACATCAATAACAACAATGACATCAATGACATCAACTACAACGACTTCAATGACAACAATGACATCAATGACATCAATGACATCAAATACATCAATGACAACAATGACATCAAATACATCAATGACAACAATGACATCAATAACAACAATGACATCAATGACATCAACTACAACGACTTCAATGACATCAATGACAACAATGACATCAAATACATCAATGACATCAACAACAACGACTTCAATGACATCAATAACATCAATGACATCAATGACAACAATGACATCAGTAACATCAACAACATCAATGACACTAACAACAACAATCTTCTCTCTCTCTCTCTCTCTCTCTCTCTCTCTCTCTCTCTCTCTCTCTCTCTCTCTCTCTCTCTCTCTCTCTCTCTCTCAGGAGTACGATGAGGAGTGGGGGAAGAAGATCCAGACGGAGAAGTTCCGCTGGTACAACGGTCAGTGGTTGGAGATGGTGGAGAACCGTCAGATGGATGAAGCAGAAGAGCCCCTCCTGTACGGGGACGACGCAGAGTCCTTCATCGGGGACCGAGACATCCTGGAGAACAAGTACCTGTCCTACAGCGCCGGTATGCGCCTTGACCTGCCTTGATGAAGGTCTAACCGACCGAAAGCTTGCTTAAATAAAACCCTTCTTTTTTGCTACAGACCAGAAGTGTGCGGATTGTTTCTCTTTTTGACTTTAAGTTTTTGCAAATCCTGCACCTTCTCTCCAGATTGAGCGGTGACCCTTCACTATTTTACTACAGCGCCAGTACTAAAAGATTTAAAGGGACATTTCACCGTTTTACTGCTGTGTTGAAGATGGTGCTTCATGATTACTCCGCCCCTTTCACGCAGATGGGGTCAGCTCAGCTGACGGCGCCATCAGCCCTGAGTTCTTCAGCGACTTTCAGAACGGGGAGCTGGGACTGACCGGGTTCTTGAACAGGTATGGAGTCTTCTTACTTAGATATAGATTATAGACCCAGAACCTGAACGGTCCGGGTCTGGAGACTCTGAGATCAGAAAAGATCAGAATATGGATGCAGAACCGAACCGGCTCTGTGACCCTGGTCTAACCCTGCACCCAAACACACATGAAACCTTTTCAAAGTGTGTGTGTGTGTGTGTGTGTGTGTGTGTGTGTGTGTGTGTGTGTGTGTGTGTGTGTGTCAGCGGCGCAGGTTGTCCTCGTCCACACTAACCTGTGGGCGTCGACCTCCAGCCCGTCCTCCCCGCCCCCTCGTCTTGTTTTTCCTGATCACGATTCGCTGATGTGTGTTATTGAACCGCGCCTGACCTGAGTCAACACGGCCTCACCAATCCCAGAAGGCATTGCTCCACCCTCAACAGCAATACTCCAGCTTTGAGAACAAACACTCGGCTGCTGTCTCCGTGTTTCTCCCGCTCTCGTCCCTCCGTGGTCGAGTCCCGATACGGCGCCGACATTCCTCAGAGAAACATGAAACTGAAGCCCGTGAATGAAAAACCAGTCCTGTTATCACGGAGAGTTTCCTCTGAATCAGGTTTTGGTCCCAACGTCATCATCATCATCAGCAGCTCCTGCAGATGATGAATCGTGGAGGAAATCAAAAGTTTGTCTTATTTATTCTGGATCACTCGCTAACACGTGATAACGCTCCTGTTGATGGAGCGGCGAGGTTGAGATGTCTTCATCTGAATCCAACGACAGGAGAAAAACCTCCATCTGCGTCCTCTCCTCTCGTTCTTTATCGCGTCTCTCTCTCCCTCCTTCGGCTTTGTAACCGATAGCGTCTGAATATATGGCGAGCGCCCGGGGAATCAGCGTCTGCGTCTGTGAGACTGTTTTAATTTGGCGGCTGGACTCGGAGTGATCCAGGTTAACACAATAATCAAAGCCAGCTCCAGAGCTTATTTTAAACCATGTGTGAAACATAGTGTGAATGGGGCCTTGTCAAACAGACGATAGACTGCACACTGACTGTAGGAGAGGCTGAATAGACGTATATATACAGGCTGAGTAGGAGAAATATCCTGGATGATACGCCGTCGTAATACTTGGGGTTTATTTCTTTAGCATAGTTCAAACACCGCTCCACTGAGAGGGAATCAAACTCCAACACCGATCGACGCAGGTGAGGGAATGAAACAAGGAAATGCTCCAAAATTCAACTTTACTGTTTCATGTTTTCATCAGGCTGGAGGAGTCAAAGATTTGTCCCCTCTCAGGTTTCATCTCTGCGGTTTTCCGACACAAAGAGAGCGCTTCAGTTTCCTCCACATCATCCGATTTTTCTCGTCTCATCAGATCTTTAGATTAAAGCTGCTGTGAGGAGTTTTAGTGGGTTATGTAACAAACTGTCAGAGAAATAAACACACTGGAGACGTTTACATGTTCAGAAAATCAATTTATTTCCCTCGTCTGACTGTGAGTGGACGTTAGAAAGACTCGTCAACACGATGTCTTCATCTGTCGGGCTTGTTGAACAACATGGACACAACCTCGACAGATGAAGACAGGATGTTAAAAAGACGAAACGGTCCTATGGTTCAGGACGGAGGCGGAGTTTAAAGGTGATTTTGTCAGGTCGAGAGAGGTGTGTAACAGGAAGAGGAAAAACTCTTGAAAACGCCATCAACAGAGTCAATGAGCGCTTTGAGAGGCTGTCAGGATGTGAGAAGGCGAATCACGGTCAGGTGAGACGAGGGGAAGTGAAGGAGGAGTGGGAGGGAAGGCGAGATAGAGACCTGGTTTCTTGCGGGGTCTGCGTGTTGGTCGGCTGTAACCTGAGCAGTGACAGCGGCGAGAGATCAAAGCGAGGCCCTCTGAGAGTCAGACGCAGACGGGCCAAAGGGTCACGCCAGAGGAGGAAGAGAGCTGATTCCTTTTCCTGTTCAACACCGAGGAATGTTCTCTGCGGGACGGGCCGCGTCCCCGCCGCACAGCCCGCCACCGCCGCCCGCCTCCTGCAGCCGCTCCTCTGGGGCCGGACTGGCATTCGTGGGAACACTGGGCCCCTTGTCTCAGTGGCCCTGAACGGCCCTCTGCTCATTTTGTTGGCGTGTCACGACACTCACCGACACGCATGTGAGGAGAAAAAGGTGGCAGACAGGTCGATCTGCGTGTTTTTATAACGAGACGGATCACAGCTGACGGAACCAAGACCCGCTGAGCCCAGAAAGGGTCCAGAATGTTCCAGCACCGTCTCATCAGACGGATAGATCTTTAACGAAGGTTCTGGACGTGACGGGGGCAGAGCCTGGATTTAATCCAGAGTAAAGGTCCTTACACACCGGGCGAGAATTCGCCAGGCGAATTATTCGCCTTTTTTTAAAACAGCATGAAGTCAATGCAAGCTTCCACACCGGCGGCGATTTCTCCGCGGGGCGAAAAGCCGCTTTTATTTTTTCGCTCCTGTGTCGAATTTTTCGGATATTCGCAGGCGAATATCTGGACCTGCTAGACCTCTGGCCAATCAAAAGTCATGTTGTTGATGACATCACAGACCCATACGGCTGGAGGAGAGGGAGAAGTTTGAGATTATGAAAACGCAGACAAAGACAGCTGAGGTGCATCCAAAACTCTTTCTAATTACTAATGAAGTAGTTTTCTCACAAGATGACACTCTCTTGTCTTCCACTTCGCATCTCCTCTCCTCCGTGCCGTAAAGCAACTTTATTAATTCGCTTTGCAAAAAATATACGCATATTCGCTTCGTGGCCGGTGTGTATAGGCGAAAGCGATTTTTCGGACCGGTGAATATTCGCAATTTTTGTCTCGCTTTTTCGTTTCGCTCCGCAAATTCGCCGGTGTGTAAGGACCTTAACCCTTTATAGAGATTCAGGAAAAAGCTGCAGTTCCTCGAGCGTCCACTAGAGGTCCTTCTCAGTGATCCCAAACAGCTGATCCAGGAGAAGTGTTTCTCATCGCTCTCCTGTTTTAAATGAACGCTCAGAGAACCTCGTTTTCATCAGTCAGATTTGAGGGCGGGGCTTAACTGACCGACAGGTGTTCATGTGTTTCCTGTTCGTCTGAAGGAAGTCTGAGACGGATGACATCAGCGGTTTTATAACCATGGAGCTGATTGGACGAAACACCAATGAAAGCAAATCACTAATTCATTCATAATTAAGTTTATTAGTTATAGTACAGCTGTCCGAAAAGTCAGAGGCCGTCCGCCTTATGGGGCGTTCACACCAAGCGCGAGTAAATCATCTACTCGCTTAATTCGCGCGAATCTAGACGCGTGAATGAATAATATTTACTCGCTTCAACGTTCATTTTAAACATAATTCCTGACAATTCAACCAGCAGGATCAAGTGATACTTGATCTCACTTGCCTCTAGGTGAGCTATTCTGGTTTTGGTAATTAAAATAAAAGGTATCATATAATTCGGGGCACCCGCACACCAACACGATCAGTTTGTCCTTCATTTTAGATTCCAGTGAACAACCGTCTATTTTCACACGTCACCCGGGAACCTCATCGCGACGCAAATATCCCCTCAAGCTGATGCATTTCCAGGTCCCGCCTAATTCGCATCAGAGTAGAAGGAGCGTCTAATCGCGTCTTCGCATTGACTTAACATGTAATTCAGTCGCGCGAATGATTTGTTGTGTTAAACAGTTAAACTTAAAAGTTTTTTAAAAATGAAACTTTTTATATGTTTAACAAAAAGAGACAGAAATTAAACGATTTTAAAGTCCAGTTGGTACCGAGGTTTGGTTTTATTGTGAGTCTGAATGAACCTCTATGACAGGATGAAGTTTCATAGATGAGCTCAGATGTGAAGAACCTGTTTCCTGCAACAATTGGCATAAAAAACTAAAAGTATAAATAAATCATCATCAGTGTAGCCGTGGTAATCAGTCCCAATACAAAGAAAGAAACAGCCGACCGATCGCACCAGGTACAGCAAACAGCAGGGGACCGAGGACAGCCCCCTGTGGGATCCCATCCCTAACAGCACCGGCCTCTGAGAACGTGTCGTTACATAAAACCCACTGAGATGGTTCTGACGGGTCCGAAGACATTTATGTGCTGAAAATAAAAAGTCGAACAGAGACGCAGATGTTGATCGGACTGGAGAGTTTCAGAAGATTGAAGCGGTGAAGGTTGGAGGACAGTGACTGACTGAGCATCAGGTCTCGTGTGTCCGGTCCATATCCCTGAGGTCCAGGCTGGGTGTGACCCGTCAGTCCTCCTCCAGCCACAGAAACAGGCAAACAGGCCGGCAGGCGGGGGGGCGGATGGTGTGACTCAGAGCTCCAGTGTTCCTCCAGCCTCCTTCAGCCCGGCTCTCAAATCCCCCCTGACAGCCGTAGCGTGCGGAGAGGAAAAAGACATATTTCTGCCCAGGGTGGAGGAGGAGGAGGAGGAGGAGGAAGAGGAGGAGGGTGGGCGAGAGCAAAACAGAGGAAGAGATGGGTGGTGGAGGTGGGGGTGGGGGTGGTGGCGGCGCAAGCTGTGTAAGTGATCGCTGGAAGTGATTTGGCTAAAAACAACACGTCATTATAGGCGCTCGCAGGGGCAAAGCAAACAGCTCGTATTTTAGGAGGTTCGAGGGTTGGGGGGGGGGGGGGGCGGGGTGATGGTCGTCCTTTAGGAAGTTCAGATCCATGTGAGGTGTCATTCATCAGAGTCCACTTTGTCCATCAATCGTTGTGACCCCCACATCAGACTTCCAGCAGCTGCTCAGAAGATGGAGCGTGAAATCCCCCCACCCGCCCTCTGCATCCACATCGCCATAGTAACTGATTTACACGCCGCAGATACACGCCTTTTATCAGCCCCTCTACAGGCCCCTGTTACCGGGCCGGGCAGTCAGGTCCTCCAGGTTTGGCAGCCTGCCCCCCCCCCCAGCCCTCGTCCTCGTCACGCCGCCGTGTTTTGACATCTCTCCGGTTTTTATAAGTTGGCCGCTCTGCTGTTTACCCCTCCGGCCGTCAGCCGTCTGTAACTCACACTCTCACCGTGGACGTCCGACACCTGCAGCAGCAGCAGCAGCAGCAGCAGCAGCGGCGGCGGGGCAGATGAAGATTACATTAAGGTTTTATGAGGGGGGTTCTTTTTCATGCCTGGGGGGGGGGGGGCTGGACTCCTGAGAGTTGACTGGTGTTAGAGCTCCACCTGGTGGTTAAGAGTCTGACTGGTTAAAATACTTTATTTAACCAGAAAAGACTCACTCAAACCTTTTTTTTACAAGAGTGCAACACATAGAGTGAGTTCGTCGTGGTTATTTCTCTCTGTTTCAGGTTGTTCTAACTCTTCCTCTCTCCTTCCTCTTCCTCCCGTCAGTGTCGAGGATCAGTTCAGCCCGCCAGATCGACCCGTCAGCGCCTACGGCTTCCGCCCCGATGAACAGTTTTTCCTCAACTACAACAACTCGGGCTGGTAAACCCGGATGGTCTCACACACCGGCCCTGTACAGATGTTCACTCTGACGTGTCTTCACGAGTCCTCACTGCACACAACGAACCTTTAATTAGTCTGACACTGAGTTTAAAAGGCCGAGTTTTCTTGTTGTGACAGATTAAAAACAGATTTATTTAAATTAAACCTCATATCGGCTCATTTTACGTGAAGTTTATTTATTTATTGATATTCGTTTGAGAACAGAGATAAACTCTGTAAAGAAGCTGAATGTTCCTGAAGGAGCGTCTAAGTGACACAAAATCCAAGTCTGAAACCTCCAACCGCAGAGAATCATCCAAACTTCTCCTCAGGATTATTTTCTTCACACTTGACTCTTTCAGAAAGATTCAGTAGAATTCAGTTTGGCTCTGGATCTTCTTGTTTTGCCTTAACACACACTCACACTGTCTGTAAACACAACGGTAGTTCAGACTGAAATCTTCTGTGAATGTAAATGAAGAAGAAATGTGAAACTGCCTTTGTTTTAATGTTTGAAACATGAACCGTCTGTTTTTTATGATTATTATTTATATTGGATTTCTGATGTGCCTGCTGAAACACGAGCTCCTTTTCTCTGAGGTCATGAATCATCGTTTGTCACATTTAAAAGTTTCAGATTCATTAAACATAAATAAATATTCGTCAAAGACAAAACGAGTGAACTCTGAGTTTCTTTAGATCTCGACATGACGTCTAGATTTTGAGGATCTTTTGATTTTGAAAATGATGTCGGTCATAAATAAATAATCGAAGCATCACTCTGAATCTGTTTTATTTATGATTAAACTTTTTATTCTTTGTCCCAAACCTGAAACCACAGAGTTCACACAGACACAGTTTGAGTTTGGCTGTAGATCTGCGTCACGAACACGCCTGGATGAGATGCTCTGCACATGCCCACGCTGACGCTCTCAGTTTCTGTCTGCGCCTGAGGAGACGGATCAGCGCAGGCAGGTTTGTCCTCTGCGGGTTCGTCGGAGCTCTCAGGTGATTTGCTCACGTTAGCCTCGTCATCCAGGACGTCAGACGCCGTCGAGACTTCGTCCTCGCTGCTCGGTGTGGGTTTGACCTCCTCCGTGGACTCCACATCTGACCGAGACGACTCGCTTCCCAGGGACACGTCCAGAGAGTTGGGGTCTGATGCTGCAGCTGGTTCTGCCTCCTGTCTCTCCAGGTCTTTGCTGACGTCTGTAAGATTCTTATTAACCGTCCACCTGATTTTTATAAAACCCCACAGGTGGGGTTTGGGTCACACACAGGAGCAGGGCCTACATCTTAAAATTTTGTAGGGAGCGCTATGGAGCCAATATTAGTTGGATCTCCATTTTGACAATGGCGCCCTCAAGAGGACACCCCTCCTGATCTGTGTACCAAATTTCATGTGGCTGTGCATATCTATGCAGTGTTGCCAACTCCTCAGTAAGGAAAGTAGCTATTGGCTGTCATAAAAGTTGCTAAATGATTTCATCTGCAAATTTGCATAATTGCATAATTGGCCAAATTATAATGGACGCTGTAAGTGAGATAAACAACGTAGTGGGAGTGACAAAAAGTGAGTAACAAACACCCCAAACATGTTTAGAACTACAAATGAACTTTCTTCTGTCGAATCTTGTTATTTTGGTTTTTTTTATCACAATACCAACCCTCCTCCTTTTTCAGTTTTGTTTTATTATTTTCCTTTTGTTGTTGTTGTTTTACATGTTTCTTTATTTTCTTGACATTTCCTTTATTTGATGTTGTACCGTTGAAGATTCAGCATGTTTGAATTGACTTGTACTGATGGGGAGGCTTCTGTATAAGCCCTTTAGGCATCTGTCATCTGCAAAGTTTGGCTGAACTTCTTAGTTTTAATATGTAATTACTTCATGTTTACTTTTGTGAAAATGAAAATGCCAAACAACTCCACCATTAGATAGACAGATATACTTTATTGATCCCAAACTGGGAAATTCTCTTATACTGCCGTGACCCGGATTCGAACCGGGGTTGCTGCGGCCACAACGCAGAGTACTAACCACTATACGATCACGGCGAGCTGTAAAGAGAAAGCAACAGGGGGTGACTCAACTTACCCCACTCTCTTCTAAAGGTAAAGGTGTGCAGGTATCTTCTTACCTAAAAACTGAGTCAGGGTTACTTGGAGCTGATTAATACACCAATAGACAAGACCTGTGTCTACATTTTAAAGTTGAAGTGGAGTCTCTAGGTGAAAGTATGCAGAGCCGGTAGGTGTCTGGAAAACTTCTATGGCTCTTTTTTTCTTTGACTTTTTCCATTGACTTCAATGCAAAATGTTACCATAATTTTATTGCAACTTATGATGCGAAAAATTCAAATACAATAAAAAAAATGAATTGAGAGAATTGTAATGGACGCTGTAAGTGAGAGAAACGACGTAGTGAGAGAGACAAAAAGTCAGTGAAAAACACCCCAAATATGTTTAGAACTACAAATGAACTTTCTTCTGTCGAGTCTTGTTATTTATTTATTTTTTTTATCACAATACTAACCCTCCTCCTTTATCCGGGCTTGGGACCGGCAAAAATGACTCAATTGAGACAATTTGGCGGAGTTACTGAGGTTTTTTTTTTTTTTAATACAATTGTATTAAATTTGGGTAAACCGAAGCACTCGGAGAAAACCCCTTCTCTAGCCAAAGTGAGGCTGTAACTCAGAGAGTAAACTGGACACTGAGGCGGGACCTCAGGCCTCAGGGAAAGTGGAGTCCCTCCCACCCACCCTCTTCAAACGTACAGGCTTTTTAGTCACGTTTGAAGATGCGGGTGAAGGGTTTAAACACAGACTTGAAGAAGCCTTTGACTCCACTCTTTTGTTTGGGGATCAGTTCTTCTTTAAAGGCCTCAATGATGTGGGTGAGGACCTTAGGATCCTGTACAATTGTGAACTTGATCAGCTCGATCTCTAACTTCTTGGACAGTTTCTTGTGCACCTTCTTTACCATCTTCCTTACGTTGACCATGGACAGACCAACCCTGACTTTAGAGCCCTCCATTTCTGCCCACAGCGCCTCTGTCAAAACTGAGATAGCCTGGTCTCCTTGGACATCCATTGACCAGGTGCCAGTGATCGTTTTCACCAGCTTACTCGCCAGAACTTGACAGGTTAGTCTATCCCAATAATCCAGTGAAGCTAGACCGCTTAGCCCAGCTTCCTCACGGATGTTTGTCTCCTCAGTGACAGGAGCTGGTGTAGCTGCAGACTGGGAGATCTCGGTCAGTTTTGGAAAAGCTTGGTTTTCTTCCACAACTGCCTCGATCTGCCTCACAGCAGCGGTGGCTCGGTCTGTCCCTCTATTGTGCTTCTCCGCCTGCGCAACCAACCAGTTCCACATCATCTTCATGAACCGGTCCACCTCAGCGCGGATAACACCTGCAGAATAGAGCTTCTGTTTCTTCTGATAATTCAGCTGAGACAAGATGAATCTCACCAGCATTGTTTTGTCATTTTCAAACTGGTCATCAGTGATGTTTCTGGCCATCCTCCTGTAGAAGCACATCACATCTGTGCACTGTCTCTCCGTTTTCTCGATCATGTCGTCCACAATATTTGAAACCCCCGTCATGAGTGGACTCACGACAGAATCTCTTTCTTCTACAGAGGTCTTTTCAGTGAGTTTGCGGAAAAGTTTCATGATACAGTTTTTTGCAAACCTTTTTGTGAAAAACATCTTGATCCTTCTGATGATTTTTCTCTCTCTGGTTTTCTTTGTGTTGGTGGGTGGTGTGGCCTCTCTAACAGATGAAGCTTCTGGCTCCTGTGAAACGCTGTCGCCACAGACAATTTTGACAATTTCAGAAGCGGTTTCGTTTGTGTCCCTGTCAGCTCTGGACAGATGTTGGGATAATTCCTCCTCTGAAAGGTCATCTTCACTGTCAGAATCATCCAGGTCATCTCTGTGCTCTGACAGGATGGACTTGACCGCCTGAAATGTTTCATGTTTGGGGCTTTCACTGTGGAACATTTCAGGTTCGTCCTCCATGAAGGGGGTCACAGGGGTCTGAAAATGGTCCCCAACCGGCTCTTCTTCCTTAACGTCTTCTTCCTGTACCTCTGTTTTGGTAGGAGTCAGACTCCAGATGCTGCGGCTGTCAGGATAATCACAATAATTACCACAGCACATGAGCATGATCTTTCCGATCCGTATAACCATCTTTCTCAGTCTGTAGCAGAAAGACTTGGTGGCCTGCTGCCCTGGGCCCCTGCTGACTCCGTTGGAGTTGATCCGCTCTGTAACTTCTTGGACCACGAGATCGTTCACCTCCTCTGTGGTCCTGCTACGGATGTCCTCTTTGATGCCCAGTACATCTGCAATGGTGGAGTTAATGCTGTCTCCCAGGATTGCGTGGACATCTTTCTCTGTGATACTCCCCTTTGGTGATTTGGGAGGACATTCTTTGCTCTCCCTCATCTCTAAAGCAATGGAGATGTATTTGGCTACAGTGCCGACAATGTCCACACACATGTCTGTGATCATGTCTTTGGTCTCCTGGTCCAGAGACCCATGCTTTATTGTGGTCCATTGACTCTCAGACAGTTGCTGAACGAATGTGACCACTATGGGACGAAGGATGGTGGGCTGGATCACAGGAATGGTCCTGTCCATGTTCATCGTAGTCCTTGTGCTCTGCATCGTTTCTTCTGTGTTTCTGTTTTTTGTAGAAACGTAAACCTCTTCTCTCTGCAAACTCTTGCACTGGTTGAAACAGCGGAATTCTCCTTCACCTACAATCTTCTGTTGGCTCGGAAGTCTGTCTGTCTGTTATGACATCATCACAGTCTTTAATGTCTGTTATGACATCACGTTCTTTGATGACATCACATTCTTTGATGATGTCATCACCTTTCATCAGCTTCAGATTTTTTTTATGCCAGATCGATTCACTAATCTTTATTGACATGAAGAAACTGAACAGAATGACAGTCCTCCGACAACCTCAGACAGTTCATTCTTGCTGTAATTATTATTGACACTAGTTTTGATAACATTTCCATTGAAGTCCTTCCAATTGTCATTAAGCCACTTATTTGACCTCATATACTTGATAAGATGTTTATCAACATAAAAATACATGTAAACCAAAGAAGATTAACATCATAGTGATGTTTAAGAGAAGTTTGTGTATGCGTCTCATTATCTATTTAAAAATGTGTAAATTAGCACGGTGATTTCTGTGTTACCAGTACGCTTGCACCTGATCCACATTCAGAGGGTTTTCAGTTTTGTTTTATTATTTTTCTTTTGTTGTTGTTGTTTTACATGTTTCTTTATTTTCTTGACATTTCCTTTATTTGATGTTGTACCGTTGAAGATTCAGCATGTTTGAATTGACTTGTACTGATGGGGAGGCTTCTGTATAAGCCCTTTAGGCATCTGTCATCTGCAAAGTTTGGCTGAACTTCTTAGTTTTAATATGTAATTACTTCATGTTTACTTTTGTGAAAATGAAAATGCCAAACAACTCCACCATTAGATAGACAGATATACTTTATTGATCCCAAACTGGGAAATTCTCTTATACTGCCGTGACCCGGATTCGAACCGGGGTTGCTGCGGCCACAACGCAGAGTACTAACCACTATACGATCACGGCGAGCTGTAAAGAGAAAGCAACAGGGGGTGACTCAACTTACCCCACTCTCTTCTAAAGGTAAAGGTGTGCAGGTATCTTCTTACCTAAAAACTGAGTCAGGGTTACTTGGAGCTGATTAATACACCAATAGACAAGACCTGTGTCTACATTTTAAAGTTGAAGTGGAGTCTCTAGGTGAAAGTATGCAGAGCCGGTAGGTGTCTGGAAAACTTCTATGGCTCTTTTTTTTCTTTGACTTTTTCCATTGACTTCAATGCAAAATGTTACCATAGTTTTATTGCAACTTATGATGCGAAAAATTCAAATACAATAAAAAAAATGAATTGAGAGAATTGTAATGGACGCTGTAAGTGAGAGAAACGACGTAGTGAGAGAGACAAAAAGTCAGTGAAAAACACCCCAAATATGTTTAGAACTACAAATGAACTTTCTTCTGTCGAGTCTTGTTATTTATTTATTTTTTTTATCACAATACTAACCCTCCTCCTTTATCCGGGCTTGGGACCGGCAAAAATGACTCAATTGAGACAATTTGGCGGAGTTACTGAGGTTTTTTTTTTTTTAATACAATTGTATTAAATTTGGGTAAACCGAAGCACTCGGAGAAAACCCCTTCTCTAGCCAAAGTGAGGCTGTAACTCAGAGAGTAAACTGGACACTGAGGCGGGACCTCAGGCCTCAGGGAAAGTGGAGTCCCTCCCACCCACCCTCTTCAAACGTACAGGCTTTTTAGTCACGTTTGAAGATGCGGGTGAAGGGTTTGAACACAGACTTGAAGAAGCCTTTGACTCCACTCTTTTGTTTGGGGATCAGTTCTTCTTTAAAGGCCTCAATGATGTGGGTGAGGACCTTAGGATCCTGTACAATTGTGAACTTGATCAGCTCGATCTCTAACTTCTTGGACAGTTTCTTGTGCACCTTCTTTACCATCTTCCTTACGTTGACCATGGACAGACCAACCCTGACTTTAGAGCCCTCCATTTCTGCCCACAGCGCCTCTGTCAAAACTGAGATAGCCTGGTCTCCTTGGACATCCATTGACCAGGTGCCAGTGATCGTTTTCACCAGCTTACTCGCCAGAACTTGACAGGTTAGTCTATCCCAATAATCCAGTGAAGCTAGACCGCTTAGCCCAGCTTCCTCACGGATGTTTGTCTCCTCAGTGACAGGAGCTGGTGTAGCTGCAGACTGGGAGATCTCGGTCAGTTTTGGAAAAGCTTGGTTTTCTTCCACAACTGCCTCGATCTGCCTCACAGCAGCGGTGGCTCGGTCTGTCCCTCTATTGTGCTTCTCCGCCTGCGCAACCAACCAGTTCCACATCATCTTCATGAACCGGTCCACCTCAGCGCGGATAACACCTGCAGAATAGAGCTTCTGTTTCTTCTGATAATTCAGCTGAGACAAGATGAATCTCACCAGCATTGTTTTGTCATTTTCAAACTGGTCATCAGTGATGTTTCTGGCCATCCTCCTGTAGAAGCACATCACATCTGTGCACTGTCTCTCCGTTTTCTCGATCATGTCGTCCACAATATTTGAAACCCCCGTCATGAGTGGACTCACGACAGAATCTCTTTCTTCTACAGAGGTCTTTTCAGTGAGTTTGCGGAAAAGTTTCATGATACAGTTTTTTGCAAACCTTTTTGTGAAAAACATCTTGATCCTTCTGATGATTTTTCTCTCTCTGGTTTTCTTTGTGTTGGTGGGTGGTGTGGCCTCTCTAACAGATGAAGCTTCTGGCTCCTGTGAAACGCTGTCGCCACAGACAATTTTGACAATTTCAGAAGCGGTTTCGTTTGTGTCCCTGTCAGCTCTGGACAGATGTTGGGATAATTCCTCCTCTGAAAGGTCATCTTCACTGTCAGAATCATCCAGGTCATCTCTGTGCTCTGACAGGATGGACTTGACCGCCTGAAATGTTTCATGTTTGGGGCTTTCACTGTGGAACATTTCAGGTTCGTCCTCCATGAAGGGGGTCACAGGGGTCTGAAAATGGTCCCCAACCGGCTCTTCTTCCTTTACGTCTTCATCCTGTACCTCTGTTTTGGTAGGAGTCAGACTCCAGACGTTGCGGCTGTCAGGATAATCACAATAATAACTACAGCACATGAGCATGATCTTTCCGATCCGTATAACCATCTTTCTCAGTCTGTAGCAGAAAGACTTGGTGGCCTGCTGCCCTGGGCCCCTGCTGACTCCGTTGGAGTTGATCCGCTCTGTAACTTCTTGGACCACGAGATCGTTCACCTCCTCTGTGGTCCTGCTATGGATGTCCTCTTTGATGCCCAATGCATCTGCAATGGTGGATTTAATGCTGTCTCCCAGGATTGCGTGGACATCTTTCTCTGTGATACTCCCCTTTGGTGATTTAGGAGGACATTCTTTGCTCTCCCTCATCTCTAAAGCAATGGAGATGTATTTGGCTACAGTGCCTACAATGTCCACACACATGTCTGTGATCATGTCCTGGGTCTCCTGGTCCAGAGACCCATGCTTTATTGTGGTCCATTGAGTCTCAGACAGTTGCTGAACGAATGTGACCACTATGGGACGAAGGATGGTGGGCTGGATCACAGGAATGGTCCCGACCATGTTCATCGTAGTCCTTGTGCTCTGCATCGTTTCTTCTGTGTTTCTGGTTGTTTGTAGAAACGTAAACCTCTTCTCTCTGCAAACTCTTACACTGGTTCAAACAGCGGAACTCTCTTTCACCTACAATCTTCTGTTGGCTCGGAAGTCTGTCTGTCTGTTATGACATCATCACAGTCTTTAATGTCTGTTATGACATCACGTTCTTTGATGACATCACATTCTTTGATGATGTCATCACCTTTCATCAGCTTCAGATTTTTTTTATGCCAGATCGATTCACTAATCTTTATTGACATGAAGAAACTGAACAGAATGACAGTCCTCCGACAACCTCAGACAGTTCATTCTTGCTGTAATTATTATTGACACTAGTTTTGATAACATTTCCATTTAAGTCCTTCCAATTGTCATTAAGCCACTTATTTGACCTCATATACTTGATAAGATGTTTATCAACATAAAAATACATGTAAATGAAAGAAGATTAACATCATAGTGATGTTTAAGAGAAGTTTGTGTATGCGTCTCATTATCTATTAAAAATGTGTAAATTAGCACGGTGATTTCTGTGTTACCAGTACGCTTGCACCTGATCCACATTCAGAGGGTTTTCAGTTTTGTTTTATTATTTTCCTTTTGTTGTTGTTGTTTTACATGTTTCTTTATTTTCTTGACATTTCCTTTATTTGATGTTGTACCGTTGAAGATTCAGCATGTTTGAATTGACTTGTACTGATGGGGAGGCTTCTGTATAAGCCCTTTAGGCATCTGTCATCTGCAAAGTTTGGCTGAACTTCTTAGTTTTAATATGTAATTACTTCATGTTTACTTTTGTGAAAATGAAAATGCCAAACAACTCCACCATTAGATAGACAGATATACTTTATTGATCCCAAACTGGGAAATTCTCTTATACTGCCGTGACCCGGATTCGAACCGGGGTTGCTGCGGCCACAACGCAGAGTACTAACCACTATACGATCACGGCGAGCTGTAAAGAGAAAGCAACAGGGGGTGACTCAACTTACCCCACTCTCTTCTAAAGGAAAAGGTGTGCAGGTATCTTCTTACCTAAAAACTGAGTCAGGGTTACTTGGAGCTGATTAATACACCAATAGACAAGACCTGTGTCTACATTTTAAAGTTGAAGTGGAGTCTCTAGGTGAAAGTATGCAGAGCCGGTAGGTGTCTGGAAAACTTCTATGGCTCTTTTTTTTCTTTGACTTTTTCCATTGACTTCAATGCAAAATGTTACCATAGTTTTATTGCAACTTATGATGCGAAAAATTCAAATACAATAAAAAAAATGAATTGAGAGAATTGTAATGGACGCTGTAAGTGAGAGAAACGACGTAGTGAGAGAGACAAAAAGTCAGTGAAAAACACCCCAAATATGTTTAGAACTACAAATGAACTTTCTTCTGTCGAGTCTTGTTATTTATTTATTTTTTTTATCACAATACTAACCCTCCTCCTTTATCCGGGCTTGGGACCGGCAAAAATGACTCAATTGAGACAATTTGGCGGAGTTACTGAGGTTTTTTTTTTTTAATACAATTGTATTAAATTTGGGTAAACCGAAGCACTCGGAGAAAACCCCTTCTCTAGCCAAAGTGAGGCTGTAACTCAGAGAGTAAACTGGACACTGAGGCGGGACCTCAGGC